TATCCACTGTTTAAAGTCAATACTTTTCCTATCGGTTAAATATATAGCGGATATTTTCTGCTGTGTAAGGCCAATTTTATCGGGTGTGTAAAGTAAGGCTTTTACACCGCACATTATTTGAAACATAATTTATACAATCTAATACAAAATACTTGCGCATAAACTTTTTTTAAAAAATTCTATTATCAAAAAGAGATGTACCCAGGCCTAACACAATATCCTAATACTTGCGCAAAACACAATATCCAGAAAAGAAATGTACAATCTCTATTTGATCAAATCAAATACACAAAAACCCAGGCCTCATAACTAGCTGTTGTGGCTTCAGAAATGCTGCATCTGATCTATAAAGTTGTCTAGTCAGTCCATGACCTTGTATGTCACTGTTGCTCAACAAACAAACATGTATCTCCCCCTAAGCTAAGGGCCTGTTCATTAGGACTTGAACTCTTAATTTCTAGTTCTTTCCAGTTTCTTCTAGTTCTTTCCAATTTCTTCCAGTTTTTTCCAGTTTCTTCCAGTTCTTCCAATTTTTTCCAGTTCCTTCAAGTTCCTTCCAGTTTCTTCCAGTTTTTTCCAATTTCTTCTAATTTCTTCCAAGTATATTTATTTCTTCAAATTCTTTCTACTTTCTGACAAATCACTCTAAAAAAATATATTATTATTATTATTATTATTACAATTTTTTTAATTACAACCTTTATGTTCATAACTATATTTTTTAAATTATTTCATTTTTTCATCTCACTATTTTTATGATTTACATTCATTATTTTTTTTCTTTAACTTTTTAATATGAATAATACCATTTTTTTGTATATTAATCTACATGAAAAACTTGGAAACTATTTAAAAAATTATTGTTAAATAGTTATATAGAATATTTTTTAATCTAAATTTATATAAGGTAAACATCAATATTTTATTCTAAAATATAAAATATGGAATGTGGTGGGGAGTACTACATTATGAAAACCAAGAGAAAACTACATTTTGAAAAAGAGAAAAAGACCCAAGAAGTGTAAAATGGAAATTCAACTAACAAATAACATCACCAATAATTAAAATACAACCAATAAAAAAAAGTTATAGTTTCATTTATTTGATTTACTTTTTAGTGTCTCTAATATGTAAAATAGTGTGCATATAAATATAAATAATCCAATCATTCTCAACATAATCATATTGTAAAAACTATACTTCGTATATAGTACCTTCAATTAAGTTTAACTACATTGTAGGATATTAAGTGCTCATTCATCTCTAAATTGTTTCATTGCATCTTTAGTTTGTTCATCAAATAACATCATCTTTTTATGTATGAGAAATAATATTCGTAATATTTTTTTTATTTTAAAGACAATCATTTAGATAACGTGATAACACCACCACTACCCCCACCACCAACAACAACAATAACAATAATAATAATAATAATAATAATAATAATGATGATGATGATGATGATAATAATAATAATAATAATAATAATAATAATAATAATTTATCAACAAGAATCAGAATGAGAATAATTTAAAACCACACATAAAATTTTTTTTAAAAACTTTTTTTAGATTTTACAATTTATTCTAGTTTTTTAGATTCTTTTAATTTTTTTCCAGTTTTTCCAGTTTCTTTCAGTTTCTTCCAGTTTCTTCCTGTTCTTCTACTTCCTTCCAGTTTTTTCCAGTTTCTTCCAATTTCTTCCAATTTCTTCAGTTTCCAACTCTTTTTTTCCAGTTCTAAAGAACAGGCCCTAAATGCAGGTTGGTAAATAGGATTCCCTTCAAAACGTCCAGTATAACCACATTTGCCTCTAACCTTCTAAGCATAGACAAGGGAAACAAATCTAACCAAAGAAACAAACCAAAGGTACATACAGAGGGAGATTTTGAATCATGGTTCCTCAAACCAATCAAATGATGAGAACCTGCAAATTACTATTAAAAACACAAAATGAATAACTGTGGTAGAATATTGTTGAACAACTTCTATACAATAAGTGTCCCACTGTCCCCAATACTTTATATCTTCTCTTATTCATATATTATAAATTTGCAAATGAGATACACAAACACATTTTGTTTTAGTATAAAATACAAAATCAAGGGTGAAAAATAGAAGTAAAGGAAAAACTAATAGCCAGACTTAGGTTAAGCCATCATAGTTTTTAGCATTCCATGGGTGGATCCTTACTTTTCTTTTGGAATATGTGCTTAAGACAAAATATTCAATCTATTAAATGTGCTGAATCTTAAAAATGATATATGAGAGTAGGCTTTTCTGCGAGATGTTTTAGTAAAAGGAAAATGATAAAGTTGAAAGTGTTTAAAAACTGAAAACCTAAGGACACTAGAAATACGTATGAAGCCCCAGGGCTTCAAACCGGGGCTTTAAACTTCTACTCTCTGCCACGTCAGCTTTAACTTACACCAAAAATTCACTAGAAATGGGTTTGAAGCCCCAGGGCTTCAAACTGGGGCTTCAAACCTTCATTTTTTACATTTTTAAAATACATTTTCTAAATTTAAATTCATTTATTTAAATTAATTTATTATTTAAATTAATCGCAATGAGAATAGTGCATTAAAAAAATTACATTCAATAAAAAATATTACATTGATAAAAAAATACATTCATTAAAAAAAATGACATTCATAAAAAAATATTACATAAAAACAAAACTACAAAGAAATCACTAATTATTCGAGCGACTAAAGATATATTCGATCAAATCCGCCGTTAGTGCATTGTGAATCTCTCGGCTTCGAATTTTTTGGCGGTTTCTTCGTTTCTTTTTTTCAGTGATTTCTTCATACACAAGCACCTCCTCGTCTGGGTTGTCATGACAAATGCAGTCCCGTTATCCACCATGATCATATTATGAAAAATAATACATGCGTACATGATATTCCTCATTTTTGTTTGAGAATAACATTTCGACGGATGATCTAAAATGTGCCATTTACTCTTCAAGACCCCAAAAGCTCGTTTAATATTTTTTCTCACCGCCTCAGGCTTTTTTGTAGGTCTGGTGTTTAAGACCCATTGGTTCGGAGAGGGATTTGACAGTCGTGGAATAATCTGGATATATTCCATCGGCCAAATAATATCCACGCTTGTGAAGCGTCCCTCTAAGCTCAAAAGAGGAGTCCAGAGCAGCCTCATTTACCCAATTGTCAAAAATAGGCGATTGATCGAGCACGTTGATGTCGTTGTTCGAGCCCGCGACATCGAAAAAAGCATGTCTAATCCACAAGTCATTCGAAGCAACAGCTTCGAGCATGATGGTAGACTTGGGATGATCTCCCCGAGAGAATTGACCGTGCCACGCAGTGGGACAATTTTTCCATTCTCAATATGTGCAATCAATACTCCCAAGCATGCCGACAAAGCCGTGTTTAGTGGCATGCCTTGCCCGCAACTGCTGGATGTCGCTCGCTGTAGGCTTTCGTAAATATCTTTTATGATAAATTTGAATAATAGCTTTTTAAAATTTATAAACAGAGGACCTGATGTTCCGAGCCGACATCTTCAAGTATTCGTCGAACATATCATATGTTATCCCGTATGCTAACTGACGGAGCGCGGTAGTGCACTTCTAGACGCTACTAAACCCGCGTCGGCCTCTCGCATCAAAGTGTTGGGTGAACCTAGGAACCTCGCGTTCAACATCGGAGAGTATGCGTAAAAAAAGAGGATGACTCATCTAAAAACGATTACTAAAATCCTCCAATGTATAAACACACGGATTATTAAAGTACTCGTTTAGAAGTGAAGCGTGGGCGGCCGCTCAATCCCGGTTTAAACGTTGTCGTCGGGTCCGTCGTCGGGAGGATTCGGGTTCTTCTTCTTGGCCTTCTTCCCACCATTGAATACAACTCGTGGCGAAACAACGAAAAAGAGAGCTCTTTTTTCATCGTCGGATAAAGATGGTCCCATTTTTAAAATATATTTTATAAATATTTATAATAAACAATAAATATTTTAGAGAGAAGATAGTGAGAAATGTGTGAGAGAAATGTGTGAGAGAAAGGGGGATTTTATAAGTTTTGTTTTTAAAATTTAAAATTTTTTTAATTTGGGGGGGGGGGGGGGACTAAAATTCGGAAGCAACGCCGCGTCAAACAAATGACGCAGATGCCATAACGCCTAGGTAACCCCTGAGGGGGGAGGTGTTTAACGCCCCCAAGTGTGAAAAACGGCATAACGCCGGGGGCATGAAGAGTATACCGAGTGCTCTAAGTGCCCATACATAAGATCTCAATAACAGAAGAGCCAGCAACATTGAAGCCTACTGTTGGAAAATAATACAAGAGCAGCTATTCAAAAATTATAAAATTATTTACAAATTGTTTAACACGAGAAATTTATAATGATGGGGGAAAGACAATAAATCCAATTAACCATACAAAGTGGTAAATAAGCTGGGCATAACCATTTTAGAAGAGCAACTAGTACACAAAGTGAATATGTGTGCCTATGTGGGGAATAAGCTGGGCATAACCATTTAGCCACACAGCAGTGAACATATATATAAGGGGTAGGTATTCAACTTAAAAGGGGTAGGTTTTCATTCCATATAGGTACATATAAGGAACAGAGCAGGGGTGAACACAATTGCAATTCTCCCCCTCAAAAGCGGGGGGCAAATTAAGCAATAAAAAAGAATTCCAACGGTCAAATTAATCTGTCAAAAAGGAGGAGAAAGTATGCCAAATTGATTAAAATATAGTCCGGCCAAATTCATTAAAAAAAGTCTTTGTGCGAGGCAATTAGGGCAATCTAGAAGATACCCAAGAATCAACAATATGATAGAGATGAGTATAGAAAAAACCTAACTTAAAGATTCCAATTGGAAGGAAGGAGACAATGAAGGAGAGATGAAGAAGACGACCGGAGGAAGATGTCCGATGAAGAAGACCGTCGGCTGAAGGAAAGGAATAGCGAAGGAATCCTTTAATATAATATTTGAGAGTTTATAGTCTAGAATTTTGACACGTGGCAAATTTAGACTCCTTTGATGACACGTCGGATGACACGCGTCCAATTATAGGCAAAGTTCCCTTCCAGTACCCGTTCCTTTCTCTCGCCCAAGTTCTTCGCGCGGAAGGAAAGAAATCTGCTACAAATCTTCACGCTGAAAAGAAACGAATATGATCCTGATTCCTCGCTCCAGTAGCCGATTCTTAGCCTCCCTATGTGCGAAGCACTGATCTCTTCCATCGGCCAACACTTCTCCTTCTCCAAAAAAGCACCGTACTGTACATCTTCACTGAAGGAAATTTGCACCTAATGAAGGAAAGTCAACATCCACTGATTCTTCGCGGATTCTTCACGTCAATTATGAGATCTACATCGTCAAATTCGATTTATTTTGTGTCAATTCGATAATCAGGTTTGTTTCCAAAATTCAGATTCAAATCTCATTCAATTCATAACTTCGTGAATTCGTGGATTCGAGGCTCTTAAAATCCTTACCTATTTCAGATTATGTACACTCGATTTCCCCAATTTTTTTCGGTAAATTGAACGATTATGAATCGCCCCAAAATTACATACCTAATTTAGAATCGTATTATGTGTAATTAAATTATTTATTTCACCAATTACTTTTTTTATGAGTAATACTCTACCTATATATACATTCTTCTCAAGAAAACCCACCACACCCCTAATGCATTTTTTCTTGAGGGTTTCAAACCTATTTTTTGTTCCATACATGTCGAAGACCGTTTTTTTCTCGAGGGTTTCTACCCATATATACATTCTGCCTGTTTACACACTTACATATTCTCCACTATAATAATATCTTTTCACTTGCTGCCTGTTTATACATGGTTGTGTGTTACTTGCTTTGGCATTTATTTAATAGAACACACAACTCGCAAATTTGTATTGATATGAGATTTCATACTTTGATATTGTTGCTGACTTTTGTTGATGTTGTACTTGATCTGAGATTGTTTTGATTTTTCTTCCATCCAAACAGATATGGATTCAGATATTGGGCATGGTTCCTGGGAGAGGTTGACAAAGCACGAGAACACAGGCAGTAACTTTAGGTATCTTCATGTGTTCATTATTTATTTTATCTTTTGTAATTTTGACTATCAATACAAAATGAATTTCATTAATGTTGGTTTCAATTGGGTAAATAGATTTAAGTCCGTCTTTATATATGTTCAACTCTTTATTCATATAAGGAGTGTGATGGTTGTTTGTAATGTTTTAAAAAAGTAAATGACAACTGAAATCCCTTTCGCTGCTTAGGTTGGACGCAGTGTCATTAGTTAATGGTGAAGTGTACAGCATCTTCTCAGCCTGTCCAAAGCTTGAGTCTTTAATGTTGAAATATTGTAGACTTCCATCTAAGTTATATATTGGCGGACCAGAACATGAGTGGAAGTCTTTAACAATCACAAGTTGTATCGGGGTAAAGAAGCTAGAGCTTTGTGCTGGAAATTTGACTAGCTTGGAAATCATTTCCTCTCAAAAGCTGGAAGAAATTAGTCTTTCCCATGTTCCAAAGCTGAGACATTTTTTGTTGGGTTAAAATGTTCTGGTCATATGTCTTATATGATTTGTCGGGTTGCCAAGGACATGCCTGAACTTGAATCCTTATATATTGAATCACGGGTCAGTGAGGTATGTGTGCGTGTGTGTGTGTAGTGTGTTTCTTTTGCCATGTCCTTTTTTTGCTTTCATATCGTTTTCCCCTCCCCCACTATGCTACTGATGATGATTTTCCAGATATATTATACCCCGTCAGGAGGGCGTGCGTTCAACAATCTTAAGGATGTATATGTACTCATGGACTTTAGATGGCTATATGGTGCTCAACAAATTGCTTGTGTTATTAGCTGCTCACCATTTCTACGCAAATTTCGTTTGGTGGTGAGTTGAGTTATTATTCTATTGCTATTTAGTTTTTTCTTTGTAACAAACCCAACTTATTATTTGTGTGTGTGAATGTGTGTGTATGTGAAGTCATGAATCATATTTGTGCGACTGTGTCCTGTATGTACAGTAGTTTATTTACTTGACACTGTCCCTGCCTTTGCGAGTAATGTGATATATGGAAGCAACAATCTGTCAATGTGGAGGGGATAAGATCTTTGATGGAGATTCACTTCTCTGATCTAATGCGCACTAAGTATGTTGTGTATTGCTGCAGACAAAAGGTATTGTAGACATAGGAGTACCGAGGCTAGCATTTACCTCAACTTATGATCATATTCATCTGAAAGAAGTGGAGATTGGGGGATTTCATGGACATGAGAGCGAGCTTGAATTGATTATCTTTCTTCTTAGATTTCCAGAGAAATGAAAGTATCGTATATCATCTGTTCCAACACATAGGACTTAGAGAGTGAAAAAAGTAAATCGTAAGCAAGTCCTTTTGGTATGATCAAGTGCTCAATTTTTTTAATTAATTTTTAACACATAGTACATCTTATTGAGATAAAACTTCTAATATGACTTTTATCTTCTCATGGATGATGATTATAGGTCATTTTTTGACACTTGAGTTTTACTTTCTTTCTCCATGGCAATGCTCCGTATTTGTAATAATCTTCTCACGGCTGATGATAATGAGATGCGATATTTTACGTAGAATTGGCATAAGTTTTCTTCAAGTCTCATAGGTGGGTTTACTTAATTAGTATGATGTTTTTTATGCATGGATAATTAGTTTCATTTTTCATGGCATCAACACCCTATCCCACCAACACCTCTCAACTTCACACTTTTAGAGGTACACAATTAAAATGTTTTAGCATAAGCCATTAGTCTCCAGTTTCTCTTTTTTTATTCTTCCATTCTTTATGTTGAGTAGCAGATACCACATGAGAAATTACTCCATTTTAGGCATTTTCGTTTTCAATCAGCTAGACCAATTGTTGTTCTTATATTTATTATTATTATTATTTATTATTATTATTATTATTATTATTATTATTATTATTATTATTTTTATTTTTATTATTAAAATTATTATTATTATTATAGAGCATTCATGTTGTTGGTAGCTTCCATATAATAATCTCATTTATAATTTAGCGGGTCACCCAATGAGAATTCTACCGAAGATGAGTAAATGACTGCTCCCCTTTGCTCTGACCTGGTGCAGGAAGGGATTGCTTTTATGAAGTCCATAGAAGTGTTTAGGAAAAAATAAGATTATCTACTAATTTGTAAAAGGAAAAGAATTTTAAGCATGTTATTCCCGCCGGATCAATTCAAACAATACTCCTTATATACTAATAGTCATTTTATATGAGAATTGGCTATCTACTGAGACATTTGAATATGCATAGATGGACTGCATGTTCATATTCTAGAATTGCATTTGCTGCAAATTTCATTGTCTCGAAGACTTTGTGCTATTTGGGCAGCTGAACTTTCCAGTGCTTTTCTCATCTCTCAGATTTGTTGATGATTTGCGCTGTCTGGACAGTTGAGTTTATATTTATGCTATAATCTAATTCTTATTTACACTATTTATTTTATGAAGTTTTTCTTTAATGATTTTAAGACCAACTTGATGTGCCACACAGGAATGAATCTACAAACACTACATTCTCATAGAAACATCGTTTCAATCTAAATGATCACTCGGTGTTTGGTTTGAATTTTAAAATATTTAATTAACAGTAATGGCTATTGTTACTGTTCGTTTTACGGATTTTTCTTATTTGAAGTTTCAGATTAAGAACCAGAAGATATGAAAAGAGTATTTTCTCTGCTGAATTTTTTCAGAAATGTTTCATTTAGACATTATATAAAGAGGTACTTCATCTGTAGTACTAATTAAACGATATTATTTTCTTAGCATTTTCATGTTCAATATATGCTCCCTTTACATGTTGTCATAGGCTGAAAAGTTTCATTTTAGGCTTTTTAACTATCTTAAGTAAAGAATACTTTGAAAAACATTTTCTGCCATAATGATTTGTTGAGTTGTAGTGTGTATCAAATTGGTAATAGGTCTATGGGTGCTGCTATTCCATTTGGTCTTGATTTGAGTTCTCATTCCAAGGAAAGCCCCTCTCTTTGGAAAGAAAAGGAGAAACCATTCAATGTGTATAGTGCAAAAAATAGTTGTTTTTTAATACAAAAAGAAATGGTCGTCCTAATGCAACTTGGCAACAATTCATTAGTTTGCAGCGGGCAAATGCCATATACCCTGCTCAGATCTCTCATGCTAACAATTTACAAGGGATGATAATTGTGAATGGGTTATGGTTGAACAACTTGCATCAACAGAAGCAAATTTACTTCGACAGATCAATCTTGGATAAACAAAGTACTTTTGTTTACAGAGTTTGTTTCATGTTTAGTTTATGTGCAATTAGATACTCCGTACAATGGAATTCCTTTCATATATGGTTTCATATTTTTTGTTCCTTTTTTCTTCTCTTTTGTTGTTAATTTGCAATGGTTGATATCAATCGATCAATCACTTATACATACTCTCCACTTTAGAGTATAGTAGAATTCACGTATCCAGACTTATTGGAAAATATGAAAGATTATACTTTTTTTATAGATAGAGCTTTATTAGCACGCACGTTTGAAGTTGTTGAAATGATCAATGATTTTGTTTTGTCTCTAATTCCTGGAGATGAAAAGGAGTATATGAGCTCTAATACTTCATGTCAAGCAGATTCAGATATAGGCATAGATGGTGATTGGATAACAATTGAGATTTTGAACGATATCAAGTGTTTTGGGGTTCCAAACCACAAAATTGTTTTGAAGAAAAGAGTATCAAATATGTTATTAAGAAACATTGATCAAATATCTGGGTTGTGTAATGTACAAGATTAACAGTTGAAGAGTTGCGAAGAAACGTTATTGGTGCAATTGTTGTATCAAAAAACAATACCCGTAAGAAAGTTTACACACCAAGAATAAATTTGCTACCATCAGATCCTGGAGTGCCGTTTAAGTTTCAAAGAAGACAATTTCTAATATCTTTATGTTTTGGCATGACAATCCAAAAGAGTCAAGGCCAAACATTGTCATTTGTTGGATTATTCTTGACCAAATCGGTATTTACTCACGGTCAAATTTATGTTGCAGTTTCACGAGTGAAAACTAAGAAAGTATTGAAAGCGTTAGTTTTAAATGACAACGATAACACTTGCAATTGCAAAAAAAATGTGGTTTACCCAGAAGTTCTTCAAAACTTTTGGATTTAATTCATACATTTATACGTTCGTTTCCAATTTAATATCGCATTAAATTTAGTTATCATACTCTGTTTGTGTTGTATCATTCATTAAAATTCTAACATTGTATATTATATTTAACTTCATTTTTTAATTATATACTTAAAACAAACATTTAACAGAGTTAAAAATAACATGGAATCGACCCCGTGCGTGGCACGGGTTAAATACTAGTTTATAAAATCTTTGTGTTTTGGATGAGATTTGGGAATGAATTTATATTTATATCCAATGCTTTAAAATCCATCAAAATCTATATTTTTTTAATAATCTTAAAAAATCTATCAATTTTTTAATAACATCATATTTAGAAAGAGTTTTTAAAATCTCAATTGAATATATTCAGATTTAAAATGACTTTTTAAAATCTGAATTGAATACCTACAGATTTTAAGAATCTTAAGAATCCATAAAAATCCATAAAAATCCTGATTCAATGCACCCCTTAGTTAAATTTTAAATTTCAAGTATTGAATTTAAATTTTTTTTGAATTTTTAGTTTTTTTCCCTTTGTCCCAAATTAAATCGCATTTGGCTTAAGTTATTTTTAATTATTTTATATGAAAAATGTTGAATAACTAAAAAAATAAAAATTACAAACTTTAAAAGTACATCAAAAAATTTTCAAAATGAGTGGTGAAATAGAGAAATAATTGACTAAATTTCCCCTTATGAATTGTAAATAGGCAATTTAATTTGGTACAAAGGGAGCAATATTTATATTTTGGCTTTTTGATTAGTCATAGAAGCCAAATGTAGTAAAAAAAAAAGTCAAAAGTCAGTCGAAAAGCCATTTTCCGAAGACAACCAAGTCTACAAGGCCCGATTTTTGTTATGAACTAGAAAGGCTATGTACGATACCATTTTGACTTGTAGAATTCAAATTGTATAGTTCAACTTTTTTTCTTGTTTCATGAAATTTAAAACGTGGAATTGGAACGTTTGAAATTAGAATTCGATTCCAAATCCATATAATTTTGTGATACCAAATAGTAGAATTGAAATTGAACTCTCAAATTTCATTACTTAATTCTGTGTACCAAACGGAACTTGGGCTCATTTCCTTTTATTATTGATGTGCAGATGTTACAAACGAAGTCCAGCTTAATACACTAAAGAATTCTGAGCATGCTATCCCCATGGCCAACCTTCTTTTTGTGATTTTCAAAGAGATCTTGCAGCGCTACCACGAAACGATTGTGTACTTCCTCAACCTTTTAATAAGAGAAGACATAAATCACAACATGCAAATTAGAAATGAGAAGAAATAAAATTGCATCGAGAGGATGAAATGGTTCTAATGCTCTAATGAAGTTTGCAGAAAATGTAGTTGAAATGGATATACGGTTATTTAAAATATACGGAGTATATTTTTAAAATCAATTTAATGAAATTTTCTGTCTCATAATTTCCTTCTTGGATTTCATTTTAGGTTGTCCCAAGAATTTCTTCTCATTTGACACAATTCTAGTTTATTATGAAGTATAATAAAATCAATAAACAGTTTTTTATAACAAGAGATTTTCCACGTATGATCATCAATTCTGAGATATTATATTTGTGGTTCTCTATATTTAAGAAATATTCCATAATCATGACCTTACTTGAACAGGATCTGTTCTATTTCCAAAAAAAAATCTTCCATAAATAATCTATGATATATGTGGGAAAGAATACAACAACAACATTACCCCAGTGCCTCAACGGCTCCTGCCCATTGCGGGGTAAGTGGGGTCGGAGGTGACCCCTATGTTTAAAACATATAGCGTCTGTTTCCAAATGAGCCATGATGAGTGTTGAAAGTTGCATTGACCAACTGCTATTTCACAATTGCAAGAAGCGCAGACAATTTAAAGAGCCAATTTGTCTTATTCCATCATATCCCAAAGCCAAAAAATAGTGAGTCTTCGGATCCACAGGGGAATGGAGAGATATGTGGGAAAGAATATTTGGGAATATTTCCTCCAAAAATGGATCGTGGAATTGTTCTCAAATATAAATGACCACGAACATAATATCTTAGTGTTGAAAACAATCAACAAACTTGCTACTGTAATAAATAAAATGAAACAAATGCTAAATGGTAACCAAGCTGAGAAGAATTGCAGTAGCCAAAAACACCAGAGAAAGAATGATGGCACTGGATCAGGTTGTAAACGGCTCGAAATGGAGCGGCAGGACGAACGCACTGAGTCGCCGGAAAGATGTGGCTGTCCTTAAGACGTATTCGCCTCGTCCGGTGGTGTTTGGAACAACGTGAGGCGTATGTCTCCCAGGATAAAACAGTGATCGTGTTTAGATACTAACACCGTGTATATAAACACCGGCGAACATGAACGAAATAGGAGAGAGAATTTTATCTGAGTGATCAGTGAACTTTGTGTGCTCCAAAGTTGGTAGAGCCGTGTAGAAGCACTGCTGCTCCCTTGGCTATTTATTGAAGAAGGGAATGAATATCATCCACACAAAATTAGCAAAGTGGGGAGCAACTTGCCAACTGCCTTGGATAGGCTCTATTGACCGAGCAAAAAGGGGGGAACAAACTGAGTAAGTTTAGCTCCATTTAAATGTGGTCAAAATAGATCTAAGGCTGCGTTTGGCTACGTTGGGAAAGAAATAATTTAATTCTTTACCCCATATTGAAGTGTCTAATTTTCAAAACCAATTTCTCATTCACATTTTCTCCACTTTTATAGCTAATTTTCCAACAATCCCCCACATGAATAGAAATTGTTTGAAGCCCTTTTTCTCAGATAGTATCTCAATCGTTTGAATCTTGCATAGAATAGGTAGGGTTGACCCTTTGAACCTATTCCTCGTAAAGATATACCTTCTTTACTGGCTATATAGTTAGGACATGATGCCTTTGAACTATACTGCCATGTTTGTAAATGACAATATATCTTACACAGATATCAAATTTACGTTCTGTTCTCATGAGTGTGCCCATTTTGGTCATGGAACACCAATTCCTGGTTCAGCAAGAGTTTCTAAAGGATTTAGCCCAGTCAAAATCCTCATTTGAAGCCTCATTTGAAGCGACCCCACTTCACTCTCACATAGGTGATTCTTCTAAGAGTGTCTCGATCACTCTGCTCAAAAGCACATTATTCGATGCTCAAGGATCATTAAAGCATATACATATATGCTATCCTCGTACGTTTCGAGAGTCACTGTTTCAATTTCACGCAGGAATGGTAGAGGCTTTATGCCCCCCCACAGTGACATCACCTGCTTCAACAGTTAGGTTGTCCCATTAAACCCAGGTGCCAGCCGGGTTGGGTTTTCTTTTGTCAAAACATTCATCTGAAGGGCTTAAGACCCATTCCTGCGTTCAACTTCTCTGTCGACTCTTTAGTTAACCCTTTGGTTAGCGGATCCGCTATATTATCCTTAGATCTTACATAAGAAATCGTGATAATACCAGTCGAAAGAAGTTGCCTCACTGTCTTATGGCGACGTTGAATATGCCTTTGTTCTGAGCTCGACCAATTGCCGATTGACTATCACAATGAATGCATATTGGCGGCACGGGTCGAGCCCATCTTGGAACGTCCTCTAAGAAGTTACGCAACCATTCGGCTTCTTCACCACACTTTTCGAGAGCTATGAACTCTGACTCCATAGTGGAACGAGCAATCACGGCCTGTTTCGAGGACTTCCATGATACAGCTGCACCGGCTAATGTAAATACGTACCCGCTCGTAGATTTTAAGTCTTTTATATCTGATATCCAATTAGCGTCAGTGTACCCTTCGAGTACCGGAGGATATCTTGCATAATGTAGACCATAATCTCGAGTGTACCTTAAGTATCTTAAGACTCGAACTATAGCTTTCCAGTGGTCGCCACTTGGATTACTCGTATATCTACTCAGCTTGCTTACTGCATAAGCTATATCGGGTCTCGTGCAACTCACTAAATACATCAAACTACCAATCATTCTAGCATATTCGAGCTGGGAACTACTTTCCCCTCGATTTTTAGCCAAGTGTAGGTTCAGATCTAAAGGTGTTGTTGCAACCTTTCTATCATCCTTGTTGAATCGTTCAAGAATTTTATCAACGTAATGGGATTGACTTAGTACAAGGCCATCAAGCCTTCGAGTTATTTTCATACCTAGGATTACATCTGCCAATCCCAAGTCCTTCATGTCAAACTTTGAATTCAACAACTCTTTGGTACTCTTCACCATATTGTCATTACTTCCAACTATAAGGATATCATCTACATAAAGACATAGTATGATGTAACCATCTGTCGTATCCTTTATGTAGATACACTTGTCAGATTCATTGATTTTGAATCCACTTGAGATCATCGTATTATCAAACTTCTCGTGCCATTGTTTTGGTGCTTGTTTGAGTCCGTACAATGACTTCACTAGTCTACAAACTTTCTTTTCTTTACCAAGAGACTCAAACCCTTCAGGTTGTTCAATATATATATCTTCTTCGAGATCTCCATTTAAGAAAGCCGTCTTTACATCCATTTGATGAACTTCTAGGTTTCGTACAGCTGCAATCGCTAGTACCATTCGTATGGATGTCATTCTTGTTACGAGCGCATAGGTGTCAAAGTAATCAACACCTTCACGCTGCTTATAGCCCTTGACAAGTCTTGCCTTATACTTGTCAATGGATCCATCTGGTCGCAATTTCCTTCGAAATATCCATCTCGTTCCCAATGGTACACACCCCTTGGGGGGATCAACCAGTTCCCAAGTGTGATTTTGTAGAATGGAATCTACTTCACTCTTAATGGCATTTTTCCATTGAAGCCCGTCAGGCGAAGTCACGGCTTCCTTGTAAGTTTTAGGCTCATTTTCTACCAAGCATATTAGGAAATCTGGCTCATTCTCTAAAATGTAATTTAGAGTACCTGCTTCGAATTCTAATAGCATTGTTAGGAAGTCAGGTCCAAAAGTCTTTTCAACCCTAGTCCGTTTGCTCTGTCTTGGCTCAATCTCACTATTAGACTCATCAATATTTGATTCACTCTCGTTATTTTTGTTCATCTCTTCGTGTGATCGCTTGGACGAGTTGGATTTCGTTTTAACCTTACACGGAAATATGTCTTCAAAAAATGAAGCATGTCTCGATTCAATTATCGAGTTTACTTTTATTTCTGTGTTATCAGATTTCACCACGAGAAAACGATAAGCACTACTACTGTAGCCTATAAATGGACCGTCAACTGTTTTTGAGCCAAGTTTTGTTCGTTTGGGTGGAGGTATAACTACTTTAGCAAGGCACCCCCACACTCGTAAATATTTGTAGGAAGGTTTTCGTCCCCACCATAGTTCATAAGCAGTCTTGTCAACATTCTTACAAGGTATTCTATTTAAAATATAGTTACTCGTTAAGACTGCTTCACCCCAGTAACTTGAAGGTAATCCTGAACTGATCAGCATCGCATTGATCATGTCTTTCAGTGTACGATTCTTTCGTTCAGCTACCCCATTCGATTCAGGTGTATATGGTGGAGACCTTTGGTGCACAATACCATGTTGAACACATACCTCTCCTATTGGAGTTTCGTATTCTCTACCTCTATCACTTCGAACTGCCTTAATTTTACAATTTAGTTGATTTTCGACTTCCCTTTTAAATTGAATAAACTTGTCGACTACCTCATCTTTACTTTTAAGTAGATATACGTAGCAGTATCGAGTTCTATCATCTACAAAAGTAATAAAATATTTATTACCTCCTCTTGATGGTGTCGTTCGGAAATCACACAAATCTGTATGTATCAAATCGAGTGGATTTGAACTTCTTTCAATAGTTTGAAATGAAGTCCTTGTCAATTTTGCCTCGACACAAACTTCACACTTATGTTTTGGGTCAATCTTAAATTTGGGAATGTGCTGCATGTTACTCAACTTTCGTATTGAGTTGTAGTTAACATGTCCTAACCTACCATGCCATAAGTTAGAAGACACACAAACATAAGAAATAGGAGTTTTATTGATCACTTGATTTTTAAGGGTCATACAAGTAAGCTTAAACAGCCCATCAACCAATACCCCTTTTCCTACCTCTGTCCCATTATATAATTTGACCCCATCAGGCCCAAAGTTTAGAGTGAACCCGTTCTTATTCAGGAGTGAGCCTGACACAAGATTTTTCCTCATATCTGGAACATACAACACATCTTGCAGCTTTATTCTTCTTCCAGATGTTAGCTTCAGTACCACTGATCCGACACCTTCAACTGAAGATTGCGTTGAATTCCCCATCCAAACCTTGTCTCCATTTCCAGGAGTGAAGTCATAGAACAGTTCTTGGTTTGAGCAAACATGTCTTGTTGCGCCTGTGTCAAGGAACCATTCCTTTGGGTTGGAGCCAATCAAGTTGATTTCAGTTACTACTGCAAGAAAGTCAAAACCAGGGTCGTCTTCAACGGTGCTAGCCTCGGCTTTCTTGACATTCTTCTTGGGCAGCCTGCACTCGAAAGATCGGTGACCCATCTTGTTGCAATTGAAACATTTGCCATTGAATTTTTTCTTGGCGATACCTCCTTTTGGTGCAGTCCATGGTTGTTAAGTCGACAAGTCGAGTCGAGTCGGTGACGGGGAGACTAGTGGACTAGGCGACTAGTCGTAGACTAGTCGACAAATCACAATTAGTATTGAAATTTTTAACATTATATATATCTGCATTAACCCAACATGAAATTGAAATATTAAACTGAAAAAAAAAACTGAAATATTAAACTGAAAAAAAACTGAAATACTAGAATAAGAAAAAAATTAAAATATTAACTGAAATCAGAAAAAAAACTGAAATATTAAAAAAATAAAAGAAAACTGAAAATTTTAAAGTATATTATACTTTATAGTTTCATGAACCAAATCAATGAAAATTAAATCTTACACTTTATAGTTTAAGATTTCTCATAATTTTTTTCTTATTCTAGTACGGAGTATTTTAGTACAAAACCAAAAAAATTGAAATATTAAACTGAAAAAAACTGAAATACTAAAATACTATAAGAAGAAAAAAATTAAAAGAAATCTTAAACTGAAAAATTAAAAGAAATACTTAAATGATAACAAAGTAAAAGAATTCTTACCCATGGAAGGAGAGTCGCAGGAGGCCTTGAAGTCGCGGAAGTCACGCTGGAACTGGAAGACTATAGGCGCGACTCGATTGTGGATGGTTTGCGTCGAAGGAGGCAGCGTTTTTTAAAAAAAATTAAAAATTAATCAAATTTGGGTCGGGTCGGGTAGGGTCAATTGGATTAGGTCAAATTCTGCCGATTTCTTTCTCCGATTAAGCGTCGCCTAATCGCAGCTAAGCGTCGCTTTGCGCGCTTAATAGCCTAGTCGGCCATAGTCGCTAGTCGCACAGCAAATCCCCATCGCAAAACCGCCCGGACGACTAGTCCGCGACTAGTCGTGGCCTAGGCGACGACTTGACAACCATGGTGCAGTCGGATTCTTTCCTTTGTGGTTGGCCTTCGAACCCTTGCCTTGTTCCACCACGTTAGCTTTAGCCTCGCTTGATTGAGAGCCTGCATCTTTCTTCAACAAAGCATTGTTATTTTCAATTACGTGAATCCGGCGCATTAATTCTTTAATGTTGATCTCGCTGCGCTTTTTGATGAGGTTCTCTCTCGTTTGCGCCCAAGAGCGAGGGAGTAAGTGAGTAATTGCTGCCACTTGAAAAGCTTCACTCACTCCCATGTTCTCTTTTTCGCATTCGTTAAAGAGATGGAGTACCTCATCTGCCTGTTTCAACACAGACTTTGTGTCCGCCATTTTGTAGTCCAGGATTTTGCCGACAATGAATCGTTTAGCGCATGTACCATCCTCTTGGTATTTTTTGAATCAGAGTTTCCCACAGTTCTTTTGCCGTCTTGATTTTGTCATACATGAGGTACAACGTATCAGTTAGGCCAGAAAGTATACTGTTTCTGCATAAGTATTCTCCCTGATTCCAAGCTTCTACCGCAAGGAAGGTTTCTTTGTCGGGGTTGTAAACCTTTTCCGGACTTGCCTCAGTCAGATATCTGGATAAGCCCAGTGCTGTGAGATAGAACAACATTTTTTGCATCCACATTCGAAAATTTTCCCAGAAAATTTTGATGGCTTTTCAACCGATCCCGAAGGCAGAGTGACTGGAATCTGACGGCTAGGGACATTTCCAGTAGCCAATGTTGTGCCTATAATAGGGACATTTCCAGTAGCCAATGTTGTACCTATAATAGGTATTCCAGAAGCGTTGGCCAGAGATGCACCCACAGCAGGGGTGTTCACAGCCTCGACCGGAGTATTACCAGTTATAGCTTCAGTGGTGGCATTAGGAGTGGCAGTGGTTTGAGGCAGAATGGAGTATGCCATGGTTGCAGAATCTCCAACTCCATTGACCGTACCATCCAAATTATTTGAATTAGGGGTTATCCCATTATCATTTGCCATCACGGGAAAGGAAAAAAGAATGCTGTATATATAGACTACGTCTTAAGATTGTTGAAAACAATCAACAAACTTGCTACTGTAATAAATAAAATGAAACAAATGCTAAATGGTAACCAAGCTGAGAAGAATTGCAGTAGCCAAAAACACCAGAGAAAGAATGATGGCACTGGATCAGGTTGTAAACGGCTCGAAATGGAGCGGCGGAACGAACGCACTGAGTCGCCGGAAAGATGTGGCTGTCCTTAAGACATATTCGCCTCGTCCGGTAGTGTTTGGAACAACGTGAGGCGTATGTCTCCCAGGATAAAACAGTGATCGTGTTTAGATACTAACACCGTGTATATAAACACCGGCGAACATGAACGAAATAGGAGAGAGAATTTTATCTGAGTGATCAGTGAACTTTGTGTGCTCCAAAGTTGGTAGAGCCGTGTAGAAGCACTGCTACTCCCTTGGCTATTTATTGAAGAAGGGAATGAATATCATCCACACAAAATTAGCAAAGTGGGGAGCAACTTGCCAACTGCCTTGGATAGGCTCTATTGACCGAGCAAAAAGGGGGGACAAACTGAGTAAGTTTAGCTCCATTTAAATGTGGTCAAAATAGATCTAAGGCTGCGTTTGGCTACGTTGGGAAAGAAATAATTTAATTCTTTACCCCATATTGAAGTGTCTAATTTTCAAAACCAATTTCTCATTCACATTTTCTCCACTTTTATAGCTAATTTTCCAACACTTAGAATTGAAAAAACTATATATGGAAATCTCATGTTATAAAGGGTTGTTTATAGAATTTATTCTAAAAAGTATGTCAAATCAATTCCAAAATAAAAGTACCAGACGAAGGGAGTATAATTCATAGATAAAAGCAGAAGTGTTATTATTTTCTTTCATTTTGTCTATTATTTGGCTGATATGCAACAAATGTATCAAACCAAAGAGGAACTTGAGTGGTATGTGGATGGTATGTTACCTCTTCAGTTGAAGGTAGAGGATTGCTCTTGAATTCAATAGGTCTGCCAACCACAACATGCAAGGGTTCTCTAAATGGTATAGGGGATCTGCATGAGAAGCTCAGGGTATTACAATATTGACCAGAAACTTCGTTTAGAGTACGATATAGTAGTGTTTGATTCATGGACGGATTGGGTTCAATCTCCTACTACAGACCATTCACTTTACACTTGTTGGGTAATGCCAGATGGTTCAATGTAGGGGAGTGAATCCAAATCCGAGATGGATTACCCGAGGACTCCCCAAAAAATAAGTGGCGTGAACTTTATAGCTCTAGAAAACTCCAAATACATTTTGCCGCTGGGTTTCCACCACTTGTATACCTTGGACTGCATTTCACAAAAAATAAGTGGTGTGAACTTTATAGCTTTTAAGATGGCCATTTTCGATCCCCTTACCATACCCACCACCCTACAAGGTCATTTCATGATTTCATAGGAGTGATAGGTCTTGTAAGGTTTACAATGGTGGGTTTTGGAGAATTTTTGTACGTGTGTGCATATATGATGGACGCGCTTGCGCGCGCGCGCGCGCACACACACACACACAAAGAAACTACAAGGTAACTAAGAAAAAGAAGCAAAATAACCTGGCCAAAGCAAAATACAGGAACCAAAGGCTTGCCTGTCTCTATAGCAATCCTTACGAATCCTTTTCTTGATTTAAGGAAAGCAATCTGCATAACAGATAATGAGTTCCATGTAAGAAGCAATACTGCAGTAATCAACATTACAAGAGATAAAAAAACTAGTATTATAACATCATAAATACAGTTTGTTTACCCTTTCTAAGAATAATGTTGCTCTAATAAGATCAAAATAAACCAGATCTTGCAAGACCTCTTTCTTACTGTGTTTCTTTCAAATAATCCCTAACTGGGACTTGTTTTGCCTCGATAAGTACCATCTACATCTACAAAAAAGCATCTCTCTAATACCTTCCCACCCACCCACCAACCCCCCCCCTCCCCCGGCACTGCACCCATACAGGCATAAAACAATAAGGGGGAAGCAAAAAGTTCTTAGACCCCGTCATATTAACATATATACAGTTCATTGCAGAAAACGAATTTTTAAAGATACATTTTGATTGATACTAAGGTAGTCTTATCACTTTTAAATTCCTAAATCTATCAATCCCTCTGTCTCATTATTTTTGTCCATCTTTATCTTTTTTGTTCGTCCCACAATTTTTTCTTATATTATACTCCCTCCGTCCCAGAAAACATTTCTCCTTTCTTTTTTCATCCGTCCCAAAAAACACTTCTCATTTCTATTAAAAAGTCACTTTTACCCCTTACTTTTCCATACCCTACCTATCACATCATATCTTTTTACTAATAATCTATCCATCAAATCATACTTTTACCTTTCACATCAAAGGATATTTTTGGAAATTCAATACCAAAATACACTCCCCTTAAATCCCTTTTCAAAATCAAAACTCCCATGTTTTCCGGGACGGAGGGAGTATTTAGTACTCCTCTCCCAGTATTTTTATCTCTTCATACCTTTTTTGTTCTTCCCAGGAGTATCATACTGGGTAAAGGCTCATATTCAATTTCACTTTTTCACACTTTTTGACATCAATGTCAACCACACAATTACAATTTTCATAATTTACGTGACATATTCCCCTGTCCAAAAATAGGGGGACGGTCAGGGTAACAATGGTGTAGCTGAAATTCATTCTTACTTTTCTTACACTTTAACATCAATAATAATCATATTCCAAAAATAGCAGGCTGATGAGAGTACTACATAACAAACTTTTCTCTTAGAGAAGTGAAGCAATATACATTTATTAAAAAGAAATGAAAAGAAACTCTTTATCAGTTTTTCTCCTCCAGCCCTCTTTGTTAAGGGCTAACAACAGCCTATCCTGTTAAATCCCACAAGTTCGTTTGTGGGTGGGTGTATAGATGATTCATATATAATGCACGAATTGTATTTAATGAAGATAGGCTGTTATAGAGGGTAACATTTACAAAGACAGTACTAATGTAATTGTGGATGTTACTTTTATAGATAGGAAGTTATTCAAGAACAACAATAGATAGAAAGTTGTCACAGAGAGATAAAAGTACACATAAAAAATTTGTTCTGAAAGAAATATGATTGTTACAGTGAATTGTTGTTATAAAGGATGGCTGTTATTAGTACTCCTTCCGTTCTAAAAAAAAAGACTCCTCATTTACTTCTTGGGACATCCAGAAAAGATTCCTCTTTCCATTTTTAGAAACTTTTTGTGGAGTAGAATCTTTCTCTCTCTGCAACTTAGGGGTGTTCGTTCCGTAAAACCAAACCAAACCAAACAAAAATTTCAGTAAAATATTTCCTGTACCGAATACCAAACCATAATGAATCGGCTCGGTTTGGTAAAAACCAAAAAAGTTTGGTTTGGTCATTGGCTTTACCAAAAAACCATTGGTTTGGTCTATTGAACAACAAAAAAACAACAAAAAAAATGAAACAATGAACAAGTAGAAAAAATCACCCAATTGCACAATGAATACTTAGATAGCATAGATAACAAAAATCAAAGCAAATAGTATTGGAATTACAAGAAAACTAAAAAAACATGCTAGAATACTTAAAAGGATGATTATAGAAAGTCTCAATTACTCCAAACCCCAATATGGCAATTGATAAAATCAAAGTAATACTTTGTATTAGCAAATGAAAAATGATTGATAATTTGACATCTAAAACAAAAACAAATTGATTTGTGGACATAATAATGCAGAGTCACAGACTCCTACAATCCAAGAGAAAAATATAGAATGAGAATGATAGCATGAAATGTCCAGGGTAAATAGGTATGTGTCATTGGGTTGAGTAGATATACATTACTTAGGTTTATACTAATTCAATATTCAGTAAAAACCGAATGCCAATTATATTTTTTATACTGAACCGAAAACCAAAGTTTCTAAAATTTAAAACCGAATAACGAACCAAAATATTTGGCTTGGTTTTGGTACATACAAAACTTCCAGTTTCAGTTTGGTTCAATTTACCGAATTGTGCACACCCCTACTCTACATTAATTTCAACCCCTCATTTTTACTTTTCTTAAACTACGTGCCAAATCCAATTAGGAGTCTTTCTTTGGGCAGGAGGCAGTATATTAAATCTAGATTCCTCTTACCAGTTACTCTATGCCTCTACATTCTAGACTCCAGTTAAAATTAAGACCAAAAGAAGGGCAAGGTTGATGACACTCGGTCATTTGAAGCTCCTCCGGTGTTCCGTTCACAAAATTGATGGTTTCTTTCCCCCACCGCACCCCCACCCCAGCCCGACCCACGCACCCTCACCAGAGGTGTTCCAAAAACACAGTGGCACCGCTAGTGACACCGTTGGCCAGTGCCAACGGAACCATTCCCCCAAAAGAATAGGGCTTATATAGTTTATCACAATATGACACAAATCAACATTACTGATGGTTTGTACTAAACCTCAGAACCATTGTCCATATAAAATGCTTCTCGAACTGGTCGGGGGCGGGGAAGGAGGAGAGGATGGGGGTGGGGGTAATGAATTCGACCGAGAGATTAAAGTATCTGAGGATTGAATAAAAAAAATGAACTATCAAAAAACATACAAAAAAATCCTTTTTCTCCTCTTAGAGAAATTATTTTTTCCAAGAAAAATGATTTATTCCAGTTATGCAACCTAAATGTAAAAGTAGAGTTGTAATCTTTCAAAAAAATAATTTTCTTTTAACCGAAGAAAATTTTTATAATCAACAAAAATTTTGTTTGGTCCTGTGCGTGACACACGTTAGTATACTACTACCTTTGAAATTAGAGACTAGAGGGTGTTTGTGAGTGTGGTTAGTAATGTAAAAATAGAAGTCATAATTTAGAAGCAGAAAGCATGTATTTTTAAGTTAAAAAACATGAGTAGCTTCGTAAAAAACATCAAAAATGTTAACAACCTCACTCACTAAGACCCAATCAAAGGCTCCATTTGTTTGAATATTGGGAATGCATGTTTCACCTTGAGAGCTAAAAGTAACATCTCATAAGTAGAATTCCACCTAGTAGCACAATCAATAATCAACCGTTTTGAAGGAAGTCCCAATTGATGTACAATCTGTGAGAACTTAATCAATCTCGCCTCGGATTGACTAATGAGCCGCACACTCTTCCTTACTTTCAGAACAATACCTTCAATTTCTTTAATTCCATCTTGCACAATTAGGTTCAAAATATGAGCAGTGCATCGGACATGGAATAACATACCTCCCAAAGGTAACAAATCATTCCGAGAGAATGTGTCTATAGCAACATTAATGGCAACATCGTTATTTGATGCGTTGTGCACTGAAATTGTATAAACCTTTTGTTCTATTCCCCACTCTTTTGTGCACTTCATAAGCTTATCAATGATGTCCAGACCTAAAAATTAACAAGAATACATTAAGAAATAGACATGTGGAGAAATATAAAATTAAAGTTAGAGACCCCTTCTACTCTTACCAGTGTGAGGAGGAGGGAGAGGTATAAAATTGAGCAGAAGTTTTTGAAGATCCCAATTCGCATCAACATAATGCCCCGTAACACACATATAGGAAATCTTCTGAACTTTGGATTTCCAAACATCAGTAGTCAAGGAAATATTTTTAATACTTGTTAAGGCCAGCTGTATTTTCTTCCTCTCTAGCTCATAAACACTAATAACATCACTCCTTGCAGAGGCTCGTGAAATCTTTTCATATTGTGGTTGATTGATTTTAAACATGAAAGTAAAGAATGGGCTCTCCACAACATTTAAGGGCTGCTCTGTTGTTAAAATCCAATGGGCAATGGCTTCTCTTTGCTTCATATGATCGTACTTACCATCACAAAGCGGCTTCATCTCAAAGGTAGATGTTTTTGGTTGGAGTTGCAAGGTTTGTTGGTTTTTTTGGTGAACCTGGCTTTGTAAACACCTTGCCAAATGATTCTTAAGGTGAGATGTTGTGCTCGAAGAATTCGTACAGAGTAGTTTCCCACAATGAATGCATTTGGATTTTTTCACTCCACCTGTTAGAATGACATCTTCAAAATCCTGATGAACTTTTGATACTTTCTTTCGCTTCTTTCTTTGAAAGTTGGTAGCATAATCTTCTTCATTAACATTTCCATCTCCTGGTTGCACATTGGTGTCATTGACACTCTCATCAACATTTGTAGAAACACCTTGAATATGATCATTTTCTGCATTGAGTGATTGTGGTACCTATTATTAACCAATTATGTTAGGCAATATGTAGTTTAGCAAATCTAGAAAGTTCATGGAAATGATGTACCTCATTACACTCTTGCTGGTGTTCAACTTCATGTTGACTACTCATTTTTACACAGTTTACTCACCTGAATTTTGTCTGGAAGCAAAAGATAGTGCACTTAAAGAACAAAAATTTAATAAAACTCAAAATTCAAAATCAAATAATTAGAGGTTGGTTATATAATGTTTTGAAAGTGGTCACTGGAAATCCTAAACAAGTCAAGCAGCTACACACAAACTGCACATAAACACTTGCAGATTCAAACACTACTTTAGTTAGAATTTGTCCCTCCCATTAAAATTACCATTTACTCCATTAAATACTAGCTAGGGCTTGTGTATGCCTTCACGGGCTAAATTAGTGTATGCATTTACGCCATTAAATACTAGGGCTTGTGAACTCACCTAGACGATGATGACAAACCTACACGATGAAGACAATCAGATCAATCTGATGAAGTGCCGGAATTAGAAAGGCGGAAGGTGGCATCATACTAGTGCGTGAAAACGACGATGAAGTAGTGCGTTGAAACGGCGAGATTCGGCGGATAATGGCGTCACAGTGGCGGAAGGTGTGGTACTGGTAAAGTGGTAAGGCAGGTCTGGAGGATAAGAATTTTGTGGAAGATATGGGATATGGATTTTCTTGACTATTAAAATATGTTCACATATACGGAGTAATTAATATATTAGAATTTATTTATTTATAAAAAAAATATTCGAATAATTCGAATAATAAACAAATCGAATACATTAATATTTGTATTCGGATTCGAAAGTAATTCGAATCTAAAAAACGATTTGTATTCGGATTCGAATTCGAATATAACGAATACAAATCATCCTTATCGAATACGAATCACGAATCGAATACAATTTATTTGATTTGTATACACCCCTATTTTTAACTTTTCTAAAAAGCACTTCTAGATCTTAATTTTAATTTCTAAAGTATAATTTATAAACTAAAGCAGATTAGCAAACATTTAAAATTATGTTTTAATAAAGTAGAAGATATAAGTTATTTTCAAATACAATCCCAAACACTCTCTAAACATGAAACCCACTCCTAATATGAGACCATTTATATAGAATTGTCAATTTACCACTAAGCCAAAAGGGAATAAGGATAATTCTATGGGTACACCGGATATGTACACCGGATGTACCCCATATACTCCATACCCCCCACGAAATCCCCTCCCCCATCCCAAAAAATAAAATTTCTCTCTCTTTCTTTTGGTTTCACCCCTTATCTCAACCGCCGCTTCTTCCGTCCCTGCACCTTCCCTGTCCCTGCACCTTCTCAATTTTCTCTCTCACAACATCATCGCCGGTGATTGTCTCTCGCAACATCATCAACTTCCAGGTATTAATATGCTGAATTTCTAGCCAAAATGGAAAATTGCAGTGATTAAATAGACAAGGAAAAAGTTCCCCTAAATTGATTCTCTAATGGCAGCCACAAGCTGAGTTTCCCCAAATCTGATGCATAGGTTCCCTAAAACTGCGTAATTGGTTTGTGTATCAAATAATGAGCAAATGTGATGCAGAATTTCCTCAAACTTCCATTAATTAAAATAATTTATTGCTTCACAAACTGAGTTTAATTCTTAAAAAATGACCATTGAAATGCATGGTCCGAAGTAGAAGAATTAAAAAAACAAACAAACAGGGATCTTCTAGGTGAATATATGCTGAATTTTTACCTTTTCTTCTTGGATTATGAACCCTAAGTTCTTAATTACCGTTATTTATGTTTATGTCCGAAAAAATGGTAAATGTATGTGAACTGCTTCTCACAAACACAGAATATCTGTTTTCTGTTTTAATTTCTTGCGTGCTTTGTATAATGTTTTTATGTGTCTGAATTATTACTTTTTGTTCTTCTATTATGAACCCTAAGTTCTTAATTATGTTATTTCCATGTTTAGTTTTTGAAAAAATGGCAAATGTATGTAAACTGCTACTCACAGACGCAGAATATCTGTTTTCAGTGTTTCTTGCTTGCGTGCTTTGTATCATGTTTTTGCCCATTTTTACTATCATATCTCTAATAGAAGTACTACGCTAAGGTTATTAGTTTTCTTTGCTCTCTTTATGTCATGTGTGCACTGACATGATTAATTTATATTGGTGCAGTTCCGGTGTCTGTGGCGTCATGGTACTTGCATTTGCGGAACACTTGATGGCTCGCTTGCCACTACTATCAAGTTGTAAACACGATCATTTCCAAGACTTCCGCAACGAATTCACTGTTCGCTTGTGGCGTTTGAGGAAAGGGAATGTACCTAAACATTGTCCTTAAAATCAATGAATTCAAGGTGTTTTTGGTTGATAACATTAGTTACGTGTTGTGAATGAGTTATCTCTTTGTAACACACAAACATTTACTCCTTGACCTGTTCGTGTAACACATATTTTTTTTGTTTATGTTTTCTCATTTCGTCATGTTCCTGCCTATATTGCCATATCTGCCATGTTTTCTTTCACAGACATTTTCTGCATTTATCTTCAATGTACAATGACAGAAGTGTCTGTGTTTCTAAATTTTGACACTTCTATTTACATACTTCATACATTGAAAATACTTTGGCATCTACACTTTTTATGACTTAAAACCCTGGACACAAAAATCCAAACTATAATTATACACAAAATCACAGATTCGTTGTGTCTGTTTTTTTCTTGTCCTACGCGTGGAGTGTCTGTTTTATAAATTTACCCAATGTGAGACAACGGTTTGTTGTTTTCGTCAAGTCCAATGCGAGAAATGTCTGTTTTCTAAGTATACCCAATGTCAGAAATATGGGGTCTGATTTATTCATGTCATAGGCGAGAAGTGTCTTTTTTATCCATGTCCTAGGCTAGAAGTGTTTGTTTTATAAATATACCCACAATGTCAAAGATAGCTTGTGTATGAAAATTTTTACATGTCATTACTAGCATCTTCATGTTTTGACAAAAAAAATCGTGACACTTAGATACATGTAGACAGAGACATAAATATACTACTACGCATAGACATTAAATGTCTGTAACCACAATGTCCTGCGTGAGGTATGTCTATGACATTTACATACAAAATCGTATTTACACAAAAATAAGGATTCATACCCTTCGAAGCTATGAAATGCCTAAAGACAAGTCCAGGTTTGTAATGGTAAGGTCAAATACCCCATCCTCACCTGGGACATCCCACGCTTGGGTAATTACCCTTTTAGTTTTACTGATAGAAAATGTTCATTTTTACTAGTCACAGACATATTATCTAAATGTTATTTTGATTTTAATACGTTGTTACTTTTGAAATCTGAATGTGATGGATATTTCGAACAACCAACTAGTTTTGGTTCAAATTTTTGGCTTATTTTGAAAATATAAATTGATGTTTCATAAAATTTTTGTTTATTTTTTGAAATTAAAAATATTGTTTAAGTATATGTAATATATTTTCTAACTGCAATTACAAGTATTGGTCGTTAGACGAAAACCTCAATTAAAAATTTAAAAAATTAACGAAAACCTCAATTACAACTATCAAGTCACACGGACATAAAGTTTCTATACTCCTTCTAAAACAGACTCTTCATGTCAGTGTAACATGGTTTAAAAGTGCAATATCTTTCTAAGTTTTCTGCATTTGAAAAAAGAAAGAAAACAAATTGCAATTGCCAATCTTAGATCACACAGAGACTAAATATTCATATTTTTTTTACAAATCTACACTTAATACTATTTATTCAAAAATCCCATCCTCATCTAGGACTTCCCATGCCTGCGTTGAAACTCGTACACGCTTGGAAGGCTCGCTTGACCTTTGACTTGGAACTTCTTTTTCTCCACTGCCAACTCCAAAATGCTCGTAAGGGTTGTTTGACATTTGACATAGATCTTCGTTATCAGCATTGCATCATCCCTTCTTGTTTACTTTTTGTTTGCGAGTAATTTTCTAGTCTGTTGTCTGAAATCAAATCTTACGTGGGGCGTCCTTCCGCTTCGAACATGTATGGTCCAAAATGATTGGTAAAATATGTTCATCTCTAATAACATCCACATGTTAGTAAATCTGTCAAACATCAAAACATTCATCACAACACTCAAACTCTTCAGTTCCAACTTCTTCCAATTAACACATACATTCTCTGTCTGTGTTATAGTACTGGAAATAGCATATTGTCTGTGAAAATATACGCACATATAAACATCACTTATGATCCTTCCTATTGTTGATAAGGGTTGTGAAGTATGTCTAATCCAAAAAAATACTCAACAAGTAACATTTAATGACTATGTCCCAAAATTTTTGCATTTTTTGAAAGATTCACAAACAATCCAGGCTTGTTTGACAAAATCATATACATCATAGTGTCTCTGTTAGTTAAAAAACTGAACATTAAGGCAATCAACAACTGGAACAAGGGTTTAATGTAACTTACTTGCAAAAGTAGCTAGGGGAGAATGTGGGTTCTTCATACATTATCACGCACAAACTCCTTCGATTAAGGTTTCGAGATTGACGATGGAGGCGGATATTTAAGCCATGGTCACGGAGAGCCTCCTCCGTGCAGTTTCTGGGCAGCGAGAGAGAAAAGAAGGCCGGCGGCGGGTGGGAAGACACAAAGCAGCAGCGACGGCAGGTGGGAAGACACAGAGCAGCGGCGCCGGCGAGTGGGAAGACATATGGCAACGGCGAGTTATGGTGCTGCTGAGGATTAGCGATGTCTGATTAACCAGATCTGCAAAAAATTGAAAAGAAAAAAGAAAACCGAAGGAGAGAAATGGAGAGATAAGAATGGGAAATTGGATGAGAATAGAAAAAACAGGGGTAGGGGTGGGGGTGGGGGTATGGGAGAGGTGAGGGGGAGTATATGATGTGCATACTGAAGTGGTGTACTCCTAGCCGGACTTGTGAAAACTGAAGGGAATAAACCCTAAACGCAGTCTGCGACAGTGTGTTTGCCTCTGCCGAATGTTTCAATAATGATCACAGAGCTTTTCCTCATCTGGGAATTGTTTCAATAATGATCACAGAGCTTTTCAAGAAGCGATTGAGCATTTTGTACTCGAGCTGGAGAACCGATAAAGATATATGGACAGATTCTAATATCTTAGTTATCTGCACAAGATCGCAGACCTCCAATTTGAGATCGTCCCAAGCGTTTCTATGGCTATTCGGTCAAGATCTCGATGATACAGCGGTTGTCTTCACACCGTATTCGATTTTCTTTCTCTGCACGCAGACGAGCTTCTCTTTTATGCGTACTTTGGTAGGCTGCGCTTCAGCGCTGATGAAAGTCCCCATCTCTGTTGAACTTATGCGGAAAAGCGATGAAGCGCCTTTCAAACTGGGAAAGATTGTTCGCAGTGTGAGAGCACGTCTTATCTCTGGCGATCTTAATCGCCCTTTAACTGTTGGATTTATTGACAATGAGATTCCAAAGTTGGAGTTTTTGGTGAACGATTATGCCAAATATAGGATTGTGAATGTGGGTTCTGGGGTAGCAAATGTAATCTCTGATTGTGATCATGGCGCTGGTGAAGTTCATAATTCAGTTTTGGCTGATGATATGCAATATAAGCGAGGGATCAAAAGGTCTATAACTGACAGAATGGATGCCCTGAAGTTGACAGATGATCCATTGGAGGAAAGTTTGGGAAAACCAGAGAACCCTAATCAAAATGCTCTGTTCCAGCATTTTGAGAATATGGCGTTAGCTTTAGGGCCGAGTGAGACTAGCTGTGAGAAAAGTAATGATTTAAAAATCACATTAAATACTTTGGAGAAGTTAGAGAAGGTTGATAAACCTTCTTCAGTTGTAGATCAAGTGGGAAACACACAGTCCACACTGGGGGCGGAGACCGGCAATGAGTCATTTACACTTGGAAAGGAGTTCCGGAAAGAGGTTGATGATACAGACAACACTAACGTAAGAGATCACTTTTCCAGGACGACTGAGGTAGGTATTAGGGTTGTAATATTTGAATAATTTTGGCTCAATTCATGATTTGTATTTGTATGTGTACATATATAATCTACATGTTCATACACACAGGCATTATATTTGTTCAAAATGAGTATTCAAACAAATTAATCTAGTATTAAGTGCATTTGAATTGTTTTGCGTATTGTTCAATCAACTTAAATCAATAAAATTTTGTCAAACTAAGATAACATAAAAATCTAAAATATTTGATTTTCAGTAGTTATATTTTGTTAAACGTAATTTCTAAGTGCATTAATGTTCTTAACATATAGTATCAGGAATAACGTATGTTAAAATGTTCAACATTGATATTGCATATCATTTAAATTATGACTAATACCAATTGAGTATTCGTTTAGGATTCGCTAACTATTTGAATATCATTCAAATATAAATCTCATTTACAAGGCGTTCCATATTTGGATTCAAAGTTGCATTAAAAAATAAACAAATTCAAATTCAAATACTCTTGTATGCTCAGTTTTAATCAAGAAAAGCTGCTATCTTTGCAGGATCCCGAAAAATTTAAACTAGGTTGGGAAGTTGGTGCGGTTATTAATGAAAAAGAAGCTGAACAGGGGGTGCTTAGAGAGCTTAAGAAGAAGCTGACCTTATTCTATTCGAGCTGGAGGAAATATAGGAAGGAATTATGGGGCGAGTGTGATGTATTGGTGATAAGCACCCCACCATTTGGGTCAACCATGGATACATCGCATCCTTCAATATCCTCTAGCTTCTACCGGTGGTTGCTTGGTCATGAGTTTCCAAACACAACAGCTGTGTTTATGGATCACGCAATTGATTTTGTTTGTCCAAGTGAATATTTCGCCAGACTTCGTTCTCTTGGAACCACAATAACAAAAGTCGCGAGAGTTTCTGTTTCAATCATACAGAAATTTAAGGCCGATGCTGAATTGGAACTGGTGGATGTGGCCTTATATGCTTTGAGAAAACACCAAGTTAGTCATCAACCAGTTATTATTGGGTATATTGATGGAGAATCTCTGAAGTCAAGGTTCCTTGATAGTTGTGGCGCAAAACTGGACGAGCAAAGGTTTCAAGCCGTGAATGTGATTAGCGCTCTGGTGAAGCTTATCAATGAAGAGGATGAGTCAACATCGCTTCAAAGACAATGTTCAGATACGGCCGAAGTTGAATTAGAACTAGCTGAAAACTATAAGCAGATGTGCTTGTCGAACGACGACAATGGTATGCCTGCAAGTTTGATCTCAAATGAACTGCAAAATGATAAGTTCTTGAAAAAGGACTCCGAACGTATGCTCGTGATACAGAAGGGTGAAGAGACTAAGTGGGTACTGGAAGTGGTTGATAACAAGCTGCCAGCCCAATTCGCACAGGTTAACATTTCAGTTGAAGAGAAGTCTGATGACTTGTTTCCACCCATTGAAGACAACAAGGAGAGTGAGCTTTTGGTTGATGAGGGCAAATCAAGTAATGCTGAACAAGGGGTACTGCCAGAGAAAGAGCAAGAATATTGTGGGTCCAATGAAGATGATGACTGGGAGATTATTGAGAAGCAGCATGACGGACAAGAACCAGTTATTGCCAACAATAGTTGCTGGACGAGGTATTTATGAATCTTTAATTCCTCCGATTTCTTGTAAATTTGCTTTAGCAACCTCACACTTGACATATGATCTCATTTCGACAGATGGATGGGCAAAGCATTTAGGTCAGTGGCACAAAACAGATTGTTCTAAAGCATCCAGAATTGAACATTATGAGGGGTGTTGCCTACAACTGACTGCATTAGTTAGATATATTTATTTATTGGTATATATATTAATAAATGTGTCCGATAAATTCTCTTTCACGAGGCCAATGCGTAATAATTGAGCAGAAAAATTCTGTATCATACTGGTTTACTGTCAATCTTTGCCGTTAATAATTACCGTTTGGTTAGTTTTGGTAATTTCCATTTCAGAGACTGAAGGAACTAGGAAGCTAAGTGTTAGCTTTATTCTCAACTCTAAATTCTTCCGTCCTTTGGGCAATTCTCCATCATGCGAGCATCTGCGGTCAGGGTAAGCTCATTGAGATTTATATCTAAACAGATTCTGGTGAAAATCTAAACAACTTTGATGATCAAAGGATTATGTTTCATCCATCCATTTGATTAAACGTACTACAGACACTAGTTTGTGAATCAATTACGAAGTGAAAGGCCAATGCTTTTGATGACTTGTCCATGTTTTGTTATTATGTGAGTGCCATATTCACAATAATATGTACACACAAATGTCAAAAAAAAGATGCTCGGGGTACACGTAAATGATGTAGCCTGTTTGTACACTACACAAACAGAGACTATGTCTGTGAATCATACACATGATGTCTGTGTTGTCTCTGGTCTGGTGTACACTAAAAAAATTAAGTATACACCACAGATTAAATTGCAATAAATCACATAACAAATGTTTTCAAAAATAATTTCACAAAACACTTGAAAAAATTACTTAACTTTTTTCTAGAAAATGAAAATTCATAATGCAAAAAATCACAGATCAACCAAATTTGTTACGTAAAATCAAGCTTAAAAATTTAACCATAGATCAACCAAATTTATTACGTAAAATCGGGCTTAAAAATTAATCACCACTACTCGATCTTGGCTCATCAAGCGAACTTCTCTCCAAACATCTACAACAATTATCGTTGGCCGACAAACTTTCTCCTTCCCGGAGAATCTCGATTAGATTGACCGGCCAGCGACGTAGGTTGACTTGTCTCCGGCCGGGTTCGACAGTGGAATGAAGTCAGGTAACAACAGAGTGAGTGGCGCTAAGGAGTAAATTTGATTGAGTTTAAATTAACAAAGCGGAATGTAATTAGTTCATATCTAATTGCGTTCATGACTTAATAATAATGTACCGAGTGCCATTTACCCATGAAGTCTTTATAAAGTTTTGTGTTTCCCCAAATTGCAAAAGTAAACCCTGCTTGTTTTCATGGAAATAATACAAATTGTGAGTATCCTCTTCAGAAGGATTTATTTGATCCTATATTCATAATGCAAGTAGTATAATTCACATGGGCACATTCACTTCACATTATTCAGATTGGAAAATACCCCAAAGTGAGAGGATAATAGAATGAATGAGTTTCTTCCAACCCCAAAAATGGACACAACTTTTTCTACTCGCAAGCTACAATCGTCGGCTCCATCGCGGCATAAACATCTCTTTCACACATCTCTGGGCTGATGCTTATAATCCCTTCTCCCTGCAGTGTAATTTAATTCATGCAATATACTTATTAGGTGTAACATTTTTGTTCCATGTAATGAATAAAGGATAGTATCATTACTTAGAGGCTACATAAGAATTAAATTACCTTTGCTATATTTCTGAAGTATGTGGTTTTGTAACTCTCTGAAGGAAATAAAGCTTCAATGATATCTGCTAGGACCAACTGGGGCTGAGAAACAGCTCCATCATACCAATCTTCATTTCGCAATTTTTTAAATTATGTATTTAATAAAGAAATTATGATCAGTTGTCTAAAATACCTTAGATATGCTTGGACATTGTTGTCATGAATGAAAGACACAATGGTTTCAATCATACATTTGTTCTTTAGAAGTGAGATGTTTTAGGAAGTGGGCAACTAATTCTGAAGTACATGTTTAGTGGGGAAGCCAAACTCACCAAGAACTGTGTAGTTCTGTACTCTTTTATCGTATCTCCACAAGCTCCGGTTTGAAATGAAAGTGAAACAAGATTGATCTTCCACGCCAACGTTTCCAAGAAACGTGGAGACATTGTATGCCGTTGGATCGGATGTGTATGTTTCATCAATCACTACATCAACAGTCTACATAATAGATAAACAAAACACAATATAAGAGCTGATCCAAAAAATGTGCTTTTTAATTTAGTACTTAGAAAGTAGGAAACAATATGGCTCAAACATACACATAATATGGCATGAAAATCTTCAATGTCATCAGGCATTGACATGTTGTATGTAATCTTATTAATGGATTCGTCGACATTCACTCCACCGGCATCCTGCACAATCTGCATATACCCAAACTTATATACTCCCTCCGACCCCTTTTTGATTACAATATTTCTTTATTGTGTATATTAATAATAAGTCAAATCACTCAAAAGTTTCCCAAACTACCCTCTAATTTCATGTTGTGCTCCATCACGTGGGAAAGGCTCAAAGTGGGTTTAAATAAAGCAAATATGAATAGTAAAGTCACTGTTTACATAATGTGGGAGGGGGTATTTTGGTAACATTTATGGGTAAATGTTACCAAATTTAATTTTTGTAATCTATTTTGGGACAAATAGATGAGGGAATATTGTAATAAAAAAGGGGACGGAGGGAGTATATATAAGTACAAGAGAGTAGTGTATGCATACAAAATGTTCCTTACCCTAATATAATAGATAAATCCATATTACTATATATGTATGGTTCATGCCAAAATGCCACTTTCTTGCTGTTTAGAGAAGAAGAATATCACATCTTTAAAGTTTACCTTTAGCTTGTAGTCCTCTTTTGTGAAAGACCACACCTCCTGCATGCAAGTAGAACATAATTACAAAAAAAAAATACTAACATAACTAATTCGAGACGAAAGGAATATAATACAGCCGGGAAATTACATTATTGTCATACTCCACCCAAGCGACTGTTGGTTTAAATGAACTAGACTTGGTTGTTGCCGCTTTACTCAAACACAAATAGTTTCCCTTGATCTGCCCAAAAAAAAAGAGAGAAGAGAAAAACATTCCATTAAGGCTTTTAGAGATTGATCAATTTGTCATTCTGGAAAAACCTATTTACTCAGCACAGCTTAAATTGGTCAATAGATAGTTAAGAATGATCACTTACTGCATCATATACTAAGTTGGATCTGCTCTCTTGGTTTGAGAAAACACCCAAGTACTTGATCCACTCTGCACGCTATTACAAAAATAATTACCGAGTTAGGTCCAAAAACAATTACGGAGTATTTTGTACTCCCTCCGTCCCAAAAAAAAAAAACTATCTCCATGAAATTACACAGAATACTTGTATGCCGAAGGTAATTTGAGCAAGTAATTAAACCAAATCTCCACCCTATATCTCCACGAAATCATCAAGTGTAATTGGACCCTTTGCAATATTAAACGCTTATTTTAATTTAATTTACACAACAATATAATATAATTTTACAAACGCATGCATTATACAAACGAGAAAATTAGAGTATTGTTGTGTGTACCTTGAGTGGGGTGTCTTCACTAGTTGGAACAAATGTTGCAATGTTGCAATATTGTGCATAATTTTCAGTGTTACCAGCAGTGAAATGGACAACATATTGTTTCAGTTGTTGAGAATCAGTTTTGTTTATTGTCTCCACTTGTCCATCATGGTATAGCTTCAATATACACTCTGAGGCCACCTTATCAGATGTCATCCCCTTTAACTTTCCCACTATCCCTAGCAGCTGTATGTATGTCCATGCTTATTATATATTAATTACTCTACTAAATATAAATACAAATATGAATATAAAAATACATGTAGTATATAAATACAAAGACAGAGCTGGGGTCTCTTGGAAACAGCCTGCCTCTCTACTTTTATTAGGGGTAATGTGTGCGTACACACACCTTCCCCAAACCCTGCTATTGTGGGATTCTACTGGGTTGTTGTTGTTGTTATAAATACAAAGACAAATTGATCAAGCTCAACAACTAAATCCTTTGATAGTTTGATCACTCGATGTACGCTTGAGTTATACTATATGAAGGTGAAACTTTAGATTTTGCTGCAGAAGAGAAAAACGGAGCGATCAAATCCTATCAAGAACATGAAGTCGATCAAGGTGAGAATCGGAACCAGACATGGATAATCAGAACAATCAGTTGAACACAATTTTGGAGCAGCAATTAACGATGCAAAATTGCAGAGTTGAAGAAATCCGAGCAGAGCAAAAGAGCACGTTAGACTGTTAGGGCCCGTTTGGTATACAGAATTGATGGAATTGGAATTGAAATTCCATGGGATTCAATTCCATAGAATTGAATTCACCAATTCCAATTCATTTTTTGCACTATCAATTCCAAATCCGCATACTTTTTGTGCTTTCAAACACCATAATTGGAATTAAAGTCCTCAATTCCAATTCCATAATTTGAATTCCGTGTACCAAACGGGACCTTAGAGAAAATGATGGAACTACTGGAGAAGACGAGTAGTAATGGAAATAATCCCAGTGCGGACTTAAACAAATTTGGAGGAGGTCACTTTCAGGCCTATTGATTGTGTTGGAAAAGGGAATGGCCAAGCAAGGTACTAAGCTTCTGTGCAATACATTGTGATGTAGGATGGCTAAGTGTGGAAGATGCTTCATGGAGAGATTCAAAAGAGATGGAGCAAAAGTTTCCTGAAGTTGTTTTGGGAACCAGTTGTAGTACTAATGCAATGCTACTCCCTCCGGCTGGGATTAATCTTCCCATTTGGACTTTTTCTCATTTTTTATGAAGTGTTGACTTTGGAAGAGAAATGTCCAATATACCCTTAATTTCTTTCCTGTTTTACAAACCCAACCCTGCCCTCCCCTCCCCTGATCTCTGCCAGGGCTAGCACACACCACCGCCATCATCCCCGGCTCCATCATCACAGCCAGCTCCGCCAAAATTGACCCAGCCCCAACCACCGTCGCCGTCACTTCTACCACAATTGACCCGGCCCCCACCACAATCGCTCCTTAGCCTCAACGTAACCACTCACCATCAGTCGCACTATCATCCCTAGCCGCCACCATCTCCTCCGGGAGAAAGAGAAAAGGGGAAGAGAAAAAACAAGGGAAGAAGATGAGAAGAAGATCTAGTACAGATCTACCGTAGATCTGGGAGAGGGAAGAGAAGAATTTCGGGAAGAGAAGAAGAAGATGATGATAAAAAATAAAAAGAGAGAGGAAGAATCTGGAAAAGAATCCTGGGGGGGGGGGAGGAGACGAAGAAAAAAGAAGAAATAGAAGAGGAAGGAGAGAGGAACGGATGGAATAAGAAAAAGGGAAGGAGAGAAAGATAAGAGGAGTGTGTGGCGAGGAAACATGGGAGGAGAGAGAAAGGGGAGAGGGGAGAGATAATGTGAAAATGTTAAGTGGGGGTATTTTTGGTAGTTAGTGTATAAAAAATTGAAATGGGAAATTATTTTCGGACGGAGAAAAAGGAGAAATGGGAAGATTATTTCCGGACAGAGGGAGTATTTTTGTTTGTTGTAATTGGTACTGGGTAGGGTTTGTTTTCCTTATATTATGGTGTTTTCTTTTACACTATGTTTGGTTCAAGGAATTCAAAAGGGAAAAGAAAAGAAAATGAAGTGGAAAGCAAGTTTTCTTGTTTGGTTAGAAAGGAAAAGTGAAAGGAGAAGAAAATGAGAAGGCAAAATGTATCAAGTGGAGGAAAAACCAAATTCCTCCCATTTTGGTGAGGAAAATGAGAGAAAACCATTTTCTTTTCTTTTCCTTCAAAATTCCTTGAACCAAACATAGTGTTAAGGGGGAAGGAATATTGTAGTGCAACTAACTCCAAGCTTAGCTCGCAGTTTGTTATAGTTTTAGCTAGACATTTAAGCCTTCATTTACCATTTGTACTTGCTCTTGTTCACTATAAAAAAGAAATAAGCAATCTCAATTCTCAGTTTATCTTTCTCTCTCTCTCTCTCTTTCTCTCTCTCTCTAGGCTCATCTCCCTCCTTCATATCAATTCTATTACATCTATGAATCGACTAAGTTGATTCATCACCATAGCTTCATCCTCGAAGATCTCCTTCTCCACTCTTGAGTATCCTCCTACACTGATTAGTCTCTGATGTTTCACTTGCATTATTGAGAACCAGCATCGACGAGGGTGGTAGTATTAGTGAGTTAGAAATTAGTTTCTTCATGTGTTTTGTGCATTGTAGTGTTTTTATTTACAACCGCCAACAATTACGATTATCTTCTTACATCTACAAATTCTTTTTAAGCCAATTGTTTGTAAATTTTGTATTGATTTGGGGTGGTGTGTAGGTGACTGGGTGTGTGTGTTGGTGGATGTGCCGTGGAGGTGGCAATGTGGTTGTCGTAGTGTGGCGGTGGCAATGACTATGTTGCGGCAATAGTGTGACAGTGTGGCAACAAAGTCAGGCCCGTGAATAGTAGTAGTAATGTAATGGTGGTGGTAGTAGTGAGGCTTGATGGTGGTGAGAATGGTAGTGGCGGTGACACTAATGACAATGTGGTTATGGTGGTGTTAGCGTGGTTGTGATTGTGTTAGTGTGGCGGCAATAATGACAATGTGGATGTGGTGGTAGTACAAAGATAGAGTTTGCAGTGTGGTCGAGCAAGTATGGTGGTGATGGTGGAAGTGTGGTGGCGCTAGTGACAGTTTGGTGGCAGAGGTGGCATTGTAGCCACGATGGTGGCAGCGTGCGGCTGGCGGAGATGGTAGTGTGGTAGAGGTTGTGGCAGTGTGGTAGTGTGGCAACAATGGTGATAGTGTGGGGGCAGTATTGGCAGTGTGGGCGGTGGTGGCTGACAGCTATAATGCTTGTCGGTGTGGTGGTGGTGGTAAAGGTAGTGTGGCGGTAGATGGTGAAAATGTGGCGGCAAAGGAATGCACTGTGGGGACGAAAGCGGTGGTGGTGATGGAAATGTGGCGGCAGAGGGAGGCAATGCAGTGCGGGAGGGGGTAGTGATGATGGCAGTGTGGCGGCGGGGAGTGGCAGTGTGACGGCGGAGTTGCCAAAGTGGCAGTGGAGACGGAGGTCTGGCGGTGGAGGTTGTACTATGACAAAGGAGATGACAGTGTGTCGGGGGAGGTAGTGGATTTTGAGGGAGCTGAGAGACAATTGGTGACGAGGGTAAATAGGCAAAAATCAACCGATATTACTTATCGCGCTCCTACATGCTACGTAAGAAAAAACTAAATAGTAGTCCTATTTCAGGTGTTAAACTTCTTTTTACTCCTATTAGAGAGTTCTCCCGTGTTCAAAGTAAGACAATATTTTTAGAACAGAGATAGTAGCTTTCAACAGTAATACAGCACTCCACGAGTACTATACGGCTGCCTTGCGATTCTCACCTCCAAAAATGAAACTGTAAATGAAAAACGAATTACTTCTGATTTAGTAAATACAAAATCCAAAATTGCAGTAAACTTTACTCGTGGTAACTAAACTTTAAACATTTTTTCAATTCGGCTTGGTTCAAACGACATTGAACAAAATGTCATAAAATCACCCGAGCCTCTCTCTCTCTCACAAAATGCCATACATACATACATTCGTACGTACGTACGTACATACATACATACATACATACATACATACATACATATATATATATATATATATATATATATATATATATATATTATTCGATCAAGTGAAAATGCGATCTAATGAAAGAAATAAGAATGCATCTCGTGCATTAAATGTAAGATCTAAGGACTTGAAAAATTCAAAAACTGAAAAACACGGTGGCATTATGGTAAATAAGTTGAACTTTATTCCAGTATCCAAAATGCACTACCACAATGTAAAAATGCATCGTGACGAAATAAACATGTACCATTCTCACTAGAACCAACCCATATGTGTGTGTGTGTTTATATATATATATATATATATATATATATATATATATATATATATATATATATGATCGACTCTAGTTAGATGACACCTTACGATAAGATGACATGCTACAGTGAGATGAAACCAAGCTCATCACCTTACATTGCAAAGCTCACCAATGACCAATGGAAAGCTCCCCTAGAAATAAAGCAAAGCTCACCACTTTGAACACCAAAACTCACCATTTTTTTATATTTTAAAAATTAAAAAATCAATTAAAAATAAAATAGCAACACCGGTCAACCACCGGTCAGCAGTGGCGTCTAACGACCGACACTCAGCGACGGTCGATGCCAGGAAAAATCTAGTCAGCACCTCTTCCTTTTATTTTAGTTTTTTTTTTAAAATTCAAAGTGTTGAAAAAATATGGTGATCTTTGCCATACATTTTGGTGAGCTTTGTTGTTGTTTTTGATAAGCTTTGCAGTTGTCAGTGGCAAGCTTTGCGTCATTCGACCGTAGCATATCCTTTCACCATACGGAAACCACATGCTCTATAAAATACACCATGACGAATACAAAATGCGCGATTCTTATTTCTTTAACCAAAGTTCATTTGTGCGGGAACTGGCCCTATATACATATATATATATATATATATATATACATACATATATATATATATATATATATATATATATATACTCCCTCCGTCCCATGAAACATTTCCCGTTTCAAAAAATGGCGCGCCTTTAAAATGAGTAATTTTGGTGCTATTTTCTAATTATGATTAATCTATTCTACACATCTCATCGTACTCTTTGATAAAGTAAAGGTAAAATTAGAAAATAATACCAAAATTACTCATTTTAAAGGCGCGCCATTTTTGAAACGGGAAATGTTTCACGGGACGGAGGGAGTATATATATATATATATATATATATATATATATATATATATATATATATATATATATATAGTTACTACAATTTTTAAGAATCAAAAGGAAAAAAAAAGAGGAAGGGTATACCTGGAAAATAGTAGTCAGACTCGAGGGTGTAGTTTGCTAATGGAATGACGAATGATTTTATTCTTGAGGTGCAGTATTTAGTCCGACTTGCCATCTTTGTTTTATCCTGCACGGACGAAATTAAAATTGATTTCCTAAATTGATACAAAATTTATTCATTTTGATAAGCGTTAGACTATCTCTTATAGGGGGGTTGATAGGGTGCAATATGAAATCTCGTAGATGCAGTGAAAATCATCAAATACAAGATATGCAAACAAATCAATCATATAAGCTGCTGAGAATGATGCTGAAACATTGTCACATGAATAAATGTCGACACATGAATAAATGTCAGACAACTTGCAACATTGTAGTGTAGCATCTTCAGTGTCAACCTCGAAAACTACAGTAACTCTAAAAGTCTAAAAAAAATAAACTTCTTCTAAGAAATAGAGGTTTCTAAGTAATAAAGCTTCTAACTAATATGAGATAGGATTCTATTTGTCAAAAGATTAGCCAACACCTTGAAATTAACACAATATAGGCGCTTTATAAGCAGATGAATATTTTGAGTAAAAGTATATGCTATGGAGCTTGAATATATGTATATTAAATTTTGAATTTTTGAAATTTAGTCGTGGTAAAAAAAATTGAGGGAAATGAAAGTGATGGACATCACAGATTTTGGATGGGGGCGGGGAAGGATATGGTCGAGCTCGGTCTAACTCTCCCTTTGTCCGGATTTAAATTTTTTCATTTGACTTTTCACGTTCTCTAATATTCTCTCTGTCTCAAAAACTCCTTTCCTTTTATTTTTAATGTCATACAAAATCTTTATCTTTTCTATTAAAAAACCAGTTTTACCCCCTTAAATTTGATAAAAGTCAAAACGAGAACATCTTTGTGAAATTGAGAAAATATAACATTTTGACCATTTCATAAATAAATGAATATATATATATATATATATATATATATATATATATGAAAGTTACTTTCTTAAAATATAAATTATCTTAGTTTATAATAATAAAAATTAGAACAATTAATGAACAGTAGACCTAATGGTAATTGCATATATCTACAAATATAGTATGAACAATAGATGAAAAAGCACTTGAGAAAAATTAAGAGATAAAGTAATTTGGCATTAAAAACAAGAGAGTAGAGGGGAAAGTGGATAAACTTAAAAGCAATCTGCCAACACAAGAATAAAACATAGATTTTCATTCAAATATAGGAGTGATATATTCTTACTCTCAAAAAAGGAATTTGCACGTGTTAATATAATGTGATACTATATTTTGTCATTTCACAATATTCTTAAGTATCAATCATATTTTGACATTATTATAGTTGTACATCTTATTTCGGTAATAAAAATATAAAACTCTTAGTTTGGTGGAATTCTATGTTTTATTTCTAGTTTATGTTTCCCTCGCGTAATAAAGAAACCAACTCAACCAAAAGCTCAAGCTTGTGGTTGTGGCTCAGGAACAGCTATTTATATTCTAACACGTCCCCTCACGTGCAGGCGCAGTTTTTTTTTCGAGCCTTGCCCGAAAAACCTTAATTTATTTTAACAGCGCTGAGTTTTGAACCCGTGACCTCTTAGTCAACGAGGCTCCGATACTATGTCAATGAACCAATTCAACCAAAAGCTCAAGTTTGTGGTTGTGGCCCAGGAATGATTGTTAATTATATACTCTAACACGCCTCTCACGTGCAAGCGTGACCTCTTTGATCTTTACAAGTGAAACATTAATTTTTTTAAACTGGGTGGCAGTGAATTTTTAACCCGTGACGTCTTGGACATCAAAGCTCTGATGTCATGTCAATGAACCATTTCAACCAAAAGCTCAAGTTTGTAGTTGTAGCCCAAGAATGATTGTTATATACTCTAACACCATGTCAAGGAATCAATTCTACCAAAAAATCAAGCTTGTGGTTGTGGCCCAAGAATAATTGTTATATACTCTAACAGTTTGAAAAAGACTTATTTCGGGCAACAAAATGAAAGATGATATTACTCAAAGTAAATTCTAAGAAGTGGCGGATCCACTAAGGATGAGTAGGGGGCAAATGCCCCCAACTAATTTCTTGTGATAAGGTTAAAAATATTATTTTTTAAAAATTTATATACATATGCCCCAACAAAAAATTAATGTGATCTTATCTAGTTTGGTCAAATTTAAATTTTTGTTTAATTTTTTAGTAAAGAGTATTTTATTGTATAAAATTAATTGTTTATAAAATAAAATTTCACTTTACATATTAAAAAATATTTTACATTTAATAATTATTTGAAATAAGACTTATTATTTTTTGTCATTTCAAATAGTTTATCAAAAAAATTAGCGACGCTTCTAGACTACCAATGATGCCCCCATCTACTTCAATTCCTGGATCCGCCACTGATTCTAAGTGTAGTTTTTTTTAATTTTTAAATTCAAAATCATGTTTTTATAAGTATAACAGTATGCTCTTTTCAAAGGTTTATGTGTGTTTCCAAAATATAATGGTTGAAAATTTTGTAGTGTCATTTTAACAAAAAAATAATAATTTTTTATTGGAAAAACAATTTGTAGTGCGGTTTGTAAAAAAATAGAAGCGGGTAAATTATTTTGGAAAAGAAATTTACTAAATTATCAGAAAACTGGGTAGTTTCTAACGTCCCACTCTACAAAAAAAAATCCAAAAAAAAAAAAAATTAGTACGAAAAATTGCAATGATTATCAGAAAATAATTAATAATGTTTTTGAAAAAACTTTGTATGTTGTACAGAAATCCTACATTGAATAGACAACAAAATTTAGTTTTATTTTGGAAAAGAATTGTTTTTTCTATAATATATTCGATATATATTCGAAATTTTCATAAAGAAACAATAGAAAACTTGTGAAATTTTTCATATTTTGCAAAATAATTAGCATGAAATATCAGAGTTTAGAACTCCCACTCACATGTACTCCATCCGTCCCAATTTTTATCGTCTATTTAGGTTTATGATGTTTGACTAAAATAACTTTTAAATATATTTCAAATGAAAAATGATGCATGATTTAAAAAAATTACATAATTAAAAATCACAATAAAAAACTATAAAATTAGTGGTGACATAATTATATTATTTTGTCAAATGGCTAACAAAATACAGAAATAATTAAAATGAATGAAATTTAACCCTTCGAACACTAAATAATAGTCAATTTAATTTAGGAGAGATGAAGTATATTTTACTCTTGTTTAATGTCATATTTTCTGTTTAAAAAAAAAAAAACTCCCCCGCAGTACAGTGTATGCATGTGAAATTGAGAGATGGAGAGCCATGCGAAAGACAGATGCAACTTCTTGTCTTGTCAGACCCGTGACACTCTCATTACGGAGTATCAATGAAAATACTTCCTCCCAAAAAGTGCCAACTTCTTTTCTCGCCACGCCCGTGACACCTCCCTTATTGACCTCCCTTATAGGCTATGTATTATTGTAGACTTGACGAGGCTTTGAGGGGTTTGATATAAAAAAAAAAATAAGATATTTAGTAAAGTGATGAAAAATGTGAATTACGATGATAAGTGTGATAAAAAGTGATGAAGTGTGAATATATGTTAAATTTTAATTTGTTTTAAAAAAAAAAAAGAAGAGGAAGCAAGCCACCACACCAGGATGATTATCACAACCAAAGGGGCAACGCCCTTTCATGAGGCGTGAGCCCAACGTGAGAGCTGGTACCGCTTGTGGGTTACGCCCCATAACTGAAGACCTCATCTCAAATTATTCTCGGTATTTTCAATTATGGTATGTTTGGGAACATGGATTTGACTCAAATTTCATGTTTGTGAAACTTAAAAATTTTGAATTTGGATTCAAGTCAAATTCTCCTCATTCATAACAAAGCTTAATTTAAAATTCATGCACCTCCCCTTATCATTTGAAATTTAAGATTTCAAATTTTGGAATTAAAATGCATGAATTGAAATGAAATACTAGTTGCCAAACACTACCTTACAGAGTACTTTTTTAAAGACATTATTTAAAATCACAAAATCTTTTTTTATTTGTATGTTTTTATTGATTAGTTAATAAAATAAGATATTCTTGTTATTTTTTTTGTTTTGAAAAGTTTCTAGCATAGTTTTTAAATACTCAGTATGTTAATTTAATTCTTATTTCTATATTAATTTTTAAATAATAGCATTATAGTCCATAGTCTTGATATGGACCTTAATACGTGAAATGGTTATATATGTTGTGCTTAATTTGTAAAAAAAGAGATCTATGCGCGAGCCCATGCAAAATATGTGAAAAGATTCATATTTCACGTGTGACTTTAGGACTATAATAGTACACAACTCTTAAATAAAATGAATTGAAAACTTTTCCTATTTGAGTAATTATTTAATTGAGTAATTTTTTAACATTATTTTTTCAACATTTTTTAATTTCTGTGTTTACAATCAAACGAACAGAGCCTAGCTAAGTGGTGGCAATGGAACAACAATGCAAATAGTAATGTAAATTGATGACAATGTGATGATAAAGTTATCGTATTACTCTCTCCTCTGCACAAATTTTAACCATACAATATTGATACTAGAACTTTTGATTCTTTCCCTAATATATAGCGCATAGCTTATTTGTAACGTCTCATGACCACGACCAAGGGACCAACAACAATAATGGAGTTACAAATTTTTAACATGTACTCCCTGCGTTCCACAAAACTCTTCCCTCGTTTTTTTTTAAATTCCCTAAAACACTTCCTCTTTCTATTAAAAAATCATTTTTATCCTTACTTTTGCATACCCTACTTATCACATCATACTTTTTCATTAATAATCAAACTATCACATCTTACTTTTACTCATCACATCATGGGCAAAATTGGAAAGTCAACCAAAATTACATTTTCTTTATTTTTGTCAAAAATCAAAAGTGGAGGGTTTAAAGGAACGAGGGAGTAGTAGGAAAAAGATGTTTGAATATATTTTTGTTCATGAAAAAGTGTCAATAATCTTTTTAGAGAGAGGGAGAGAGAGAGAATATTGAACCTGAATGAGGAGATAAGTGATGGCATCAAGACTGTTCTTGATGACCTTGAAAGTCCGGCCATAGTAAATCTTGAAATACGAAGCGTCTTCGGCGTTTGAGATGTTCCCAACTCTCAACAGAGGCGGAGGCGGCTTTGCTGATGATGCGCCGCCCAAGTACTTGTTAAACTGGTAATCATAATAAGAAGGCCGCACCACCCCGCCTCCATTAACGCCGCCGTAACATAATAATAATGAGCTTATTATTGTAGTGAATAGAACCCAGGTAAGGTGAGGCGGCCACAAACCACGAGACAAAGAAGAAGAGGAGGATGAATGAGATGATTGATGCAGAGACGACGGCATTGTATAGTACTCCGTACTTGGGATTGGGATTGTGAAGTGAGTGCAAATAATATACGGCACAACATTCTCTCATATATACTCCCTCACCCCAAAGATATTCATTCCCTTTTCTCTTTTTTGTTTTCCTTGTCCTATAAAATCTACTCCCTCCGTTTGAAAAAACTCTTCTCATTTTCATTTGAGGCAAAAACAAGGAAGTGTTAAATTATAGTGGATTTCCAATTTTGTCCCTGATGTGATAGGTAAAAATAAGATGTGATGTATAGATTATGGGTGGGGATCCCATGACATTGGGTTTCAATGTCATGGGATGACCCGGGGGTGCTCCGGTGCCCCGTTCGTAAAATTGACGGTTCCTACCCCCCTAACCCCACCGGTAAACCCCCCACCTCGGCCCCGACCCGAACACGCCCCCCTACCCCCGTCAATTGCACCCCACAAGTTGATTTTGACTTTGGAGTCAAAATTTGACTCCAAAGTCAAAATCAACTTGTGGGGTGCAATTGACGGGGGTAGGGGGGCGTGTTCGGGTCGGGGCCGAGGTGGGGGGTTTACCGGTGGTGTTAGGGGGGGTAGGAACCGTCAATTTTACGAACGGGGCACCGGAGCACCCCCGGGTCATCCCATGACATTGAAACCCAATGTCATGGGAACCTTGGTGATAGATTATTAGAGAAAAAGTATGATGTGATAGGTAGGGTATGAAAAAGTAAGCTAAGGATAAAAGTGGTTTTTTAATAGAAAAGGGAAGTGTTTTGTTGGAAGTGAAAAAAAATGAAAGAGGAAGTGTTTTTGAGAACGGAGGGAGTATTGAATAATTGAATGAATGGAATAATTATATTTCACACAATAAGGAATACAAGAGAGAGTATATATAGGAGGGAAGTCAGGGAACACAATCCGTACTAGAATTAGGACAACATAAATAGAAGCTGACTAAAGCTCTAAGTCTACCATAAATATTATTGATTATAATTAGTTGTCTAACATCCCCCTTCAAGCTGAACGTCGTGTCACGAACGGAAGCTTGGAAACAAGAGATTGGTAACGTGGCTTGGGAAGAGGCTTGGTTAGCAAATCAGCAAGTTGATCTTCAGAAAAAACATGAGACACATTCATAGTACCAGCGATGACTTGTTCACGAACAAAGTGATAATTCGTTCCCACGTGCTTCATCCTCTTATGAAAAAATGGATTCTTTGTAAGACATATAGCAGACTGATTATCACAAAAAAGCTGTGGGATTGAGACTGGTATACGCAGGTCACCCAAAACATAGGTAAGATACATAACTTTGGGGGCTGCGGAGGAGACAGCTCGATACTCAGCTTTAGTGGAAGATTTAGACACACGAGGTTGTTTTTCTGTACTCCATGATATAAGATTCGGTCCAAGGTAGACAAGGTAGCCTGTGACTAAGCGCCCATCAGTCATGTCATTTGCCCAATCAGAGTCAGAGAATGCCCGTAGGTGAAGATCTTTAGAACGAAAGACGAGACCCCGATCAACAGTTCCTTTGACATACCTCATAACACGCTTCAAACTCTGAAAATCATTTTCCGTAGGAGAATGCATACGCTGACACACATAGTTTACAGCAAACTGAATGTCAGGACGCGTCGTGGTGAGATACTGAAGACCACCAACTAAACTTCGAAACAAAGTGGGATCGGAGAACAGCTCATCCCCCCTACCCGCGGCATCCAAACGCCGGACTGGCAACGACATGGAGGCGGGCTTACAATTAGCCATACCCGCGCGATGAAGAAGTTCAGTAGCGTACTTCCGCTGTGAGACAAGAAGTGAGGACGTGGTGGGACAGACCTCGAGGCCAAGGAAGTAATCAAGGGAGCCCAAATCCTTTGTTTGAAATTCACAAGCCATGCGATGGATAAAGTGCTGAATAAGGGCGGATGAACTACCGGTAACAATGATATCATCAACATACACAAGCTTAAGTAACATGCCATTCATCCCATGAGAGATAAAAAGACTAGTGTCATGCTTATTTTTGCGAAGCCCTTAGGCAAATAAAAAAGAAGAAAGACGCTCATACCATGCCCGGAGAGCCTATTTCAAGACATAAAGAGACTTATTGAGTTTACACACATGATGAGAAAACCGTGAATCAACATAGCCTGGAGGTTGAACCATATAAATATCTTTGTCAAGGGCACCATGGAGAAAGGAATTAGAAACATCCATTTGTCGAAGTGGCCAATCATAATGTAACGCCAAAGAAAAGACAATATGAATAGTCTCCTGTTAAACAACAGGACTGAAAGTTTCTGAATAATCCAATCCATACTCTTAAGTATAGCCTTTAGCCATCAGACGTGCTTTGTAGCGAGAAACAGACCCATCAGGATTATGTTTAACTTTGTAAACCCACTCACATCCAATAAAAAAAGTGGCCCAATGGCTTGGGAACAAGTACCCATGTGTTCTGTTTCATCAAGCCGTAGTATTCCTCATCCATAGCACAACACCAAACCTCAGACTGAGAGGCTTCCTTAAAACTCGATGGCTCAGAATCAGAAGATAAAGTGTGAAAAGAGGTAGAAAAATTTTTTGGTTTAAAGATACCACTCTTAGCACGGGTAGTCATTGGGTGAGAACGGGCTGGGTACTGGGTCGTAGGATATCAGGTTGGGGGACGGGTTGAGGTATGGTAGTTAGAGGGCTGGGCCTGTTGGATGAGGAGCTGGGTTGTTGCTGGGTGATGACGGGTGGGTATCAGTTTGGGTATGGGGCACGGGTTGGGTATGATGGTGGGTGGGTATGATTTCGGGTAGAGTAGAGGGTGTCGGTCGTGGGGAGAAGCCAGGGGAGGGCCTCTGGTGGGTTGATGGGTCGGGTTTGGAAGACACCGGAGGAAGAGGTGGAAAGAGAGCAAGGATACTAAAAAAGGTTTTGAGAGTTGGAGGAGAATGCATAGGACATGCATAGGGGAAGATGTTTTCATTAATAAGAACACACAACGCTTTGAACGTGGTTGAAGTTTATGGTCAATTTCATGGCAAAGGTGAGGATAGACTATGCAACCAAAAATATGAAGGTGAGAATACTCTTGGGTAGTATTATAGAGAGCCTCATATGGAGATATGGAATGTAGGGATCGTTTGGGCATATGATTGATAAGATAATTGGTAGTGGCCAATGCTTTAACCCAAAACATGGCAGGAAGAGAAGCTGTGTAAAGAAGAGATACTACCGTCTCAATGAGGTGCCTATGCTTGCGCTCAGCCACCCCATTTTGTTCAGGAGTATATGGACAAGATTTATGATGGAGAATGCCTTGTTGTTTTAAAAAGATACCAAACTGATGATTCACATATTCATGACCATTATCAGTGCAAAAAATTTTAATTTCTGTGTTAAACTGATTTTTGATCATGGTATGGAAAAAGCACTAAAGGCTTCAGATTTGTGTTTGAGAGGGTAAACCTAGCAATACTTTGTAAAATCATGCACAAAATTAATATAAAAGTGATAACCACCAAACGAAGGAACAGAAGTATGACCCCAAACATCAGAGTGAATTAATTGAAAGGACGATGTAGTAACAGATGTACATAATGAGAAAGGTAATTTATGAGACTTAGACATATAACAAGAGTCACAATGGGTTACATTAGAAGCTAAAGGAACACTATGTTTAGAAAATAATAGTTTTGTAACTTGAGACGAAGTATGACCAAGCTTACAGTGCCACTGGTGAGACGTTATCTTCAAAGCATTAACTACCAGTGGGGCCTCGGTATAGGTCGGAGACACCGAAGGAGACACACGAATGAGAAGAGTGTACAAACCCCGCTCACAGGGCCTTTGTATATCACCTGATTGGTGTGGTTATCTAGGATCATAAAACCCTTAGAGGAAAAAAGAACAGAGCATTTATTATCAGTGGTAAATTGGGAAACAGATAGAAGGTGAGTTTTTAAGTTAGGAACATGAAGGAGGTTTGATATGGTGAAGGTACGTGTGGGAGAATGTATATGACCTGAGCCGACATGAGCCGACATACGAGATAGGAAGAGATTGACCTCCAGCAGTAGAAACAGTGTTTGAGCCGTAATAAGGAGCAAGATTATGTAACCTTGAGAAATCAGAAGTGACATAAGTAGTGCACTAGAGTCAAGGTACGATACGCAGTATATACCGCCTGAGTGTATGAAGTGGATGGAGATGGCCCAGAGAACTCTTCATTGTAGCGATTTCAGCACTGCCAAGCCCCATGATATGATTTCCCACAAATATGACAAACAATAGGAGAATCCCGCGAGGTACCACGTCCACGGCCTCTACCGTTCTCTTGCCCATAGGACTGTCGGCCACGGCCGCGGTTCGCTGCGCCACAGCCACGGTTGCTGGAAGCGAAGAGAGCGGTGGGTAGCTTAGTAGAGGAACTGGCCGTAGAAGAAAAGTGGAGTTTCTGTTCCAATTGAATATTAAGTTCCTTAGACAAGAGCAATGAAGAGACTTGATTAAAGGTAAGAATAACAAGATTTGTTCGAATATTTTGCTTCAAGGACGCATATTCTTGGGGCAATCCACGGAGAACACTGAGAATAACGTCATGTTCAGGAAAGGGTTCGCGGGCAAGAGCAAGGGACGTGACAATTCCGACTGCAGAGTCTAAGTATGATTGCATAGTACTATGTCCCTTCCAAAGATTATGAAGTTTCTCCTTATGTTGAAAAATATGGGTATGGGATAAGGAGTTGTACCGTTGATGAAGATGATTCCAAATTTCAGCGACATTCGAACAGAGATGAACCAAATTCTTCACTAATGGAGAGAGGAGGGCAAGAAAAGATGCACGAAGCTGAGCATCAATGATTACCATTGATCATAGGCCGGATTGGCCTTCAAAATAGGTTCCTTGTCCCCACTAACAGGTGCCTTTTCATCAAGAATTTTCGGAGAAGGAGGCGTCTCAGTTCCATCAACATAGTTGAGTAGACGATGTGTCTGAAGTGTTGCCTTGACAATTGAGGACCAAGATTGATAATTATTATCTTTCAATTTAACGGGCACACGAGGTGGTAGTGGTGGAGGTGGTTGAAACATCGGAGTATTGGCTATTTGTTGTAAGACATTAGCCAAAAAGACAGGGATCACGAGGCCAGGTTGACCACCGGCATTTGGATTGTTTCCTATATTTTGGGGAACATTCTGCGGATTGACAGGCTCATTATGGATTGGAGCAGTGAAGCTAGATGCTTCAGTATGAACACTCACGTGTTCATCGTTAGGCACTTGGTTGCCTTGACTGTGAGCGGTTTCTTGACTCATTCTACAAATAAAATAAATTCCTTTTTTATGATTCTTTATTTGAGTAGTTGAGTTTATTACAGAAATCACAAGGGAATACAATAATTGATACAATCAAAGGATTTGGAAAGAAACAACAAGATTAATTCTAAACATTTGCGTTTGATTGGTTGGATCATGTCGAGTCAACATAGGGGCTTCCACACTAGATCCGCGGATACTGTTCGCAGAGTCTACACTGAACGTCTCTTCAGGATCATCTCGTTCCCATGCGGCTTTGCGAAGCAGATAGATTTTTCATTTCATTATTCTCGTGATGCGATGCGCATATCAGAGAGTCATACACTTTTTGTTTATTCTTCCGTCTCTTACCGAGTACGAAAGTTTGACTTGAGTCGACACTCGATATCATTACAGAGTTAATAGTTGACATCTATGAAAATTTAAAACATTCAAATTCATCAATACTTAAATTTCATTACCTTCTTGAAGTAGAGGGATGCGAGAGTCGTGAATGTGATTGAAATTTTTTTTAATAACCGAAAAAAATATATAATATATATTTTTAAATCAAATTTTAACACCCTAATCTGTCCGGGTCTGTAGCCTCTTTCGGACTAAAGTATAAACTTGGTATTTGTAAACATTCAAAATATTTCAAACATTTTAAAACTTTATTTTGGAATAAATTATTCAAAATAATAATAGAGTGTTTTGAGGTGCAGAAGCTTAATAAATCACAATTAAAGAACATAATAAATTTTTGTGTCTTAGAACAGTATTTTAAATTCACACATCCATCCCCACCATCTCGCCCCATCTGCCTCCAGGAATTCATCACTTCATTCTTTTTGTTCACCTGCGTGTAGCAAATAAAACATACTACACGCTAAGTGGTAAAGCTGAGTAATAATATCTAGTGCATTGAAAATCCATATAAATTGAATCTCAATTAATAATCAAATTATTTTATATAATGCACATAATATTTAATATTTGATATCAAGCATTTATCATTCACGATATTCAAAATATTTTAATTGGATTAATTTAATGATATATACAATATTCTATATTCAGTATTTCAACAATGCTCTTAAATTATTCTTAGTATAAGGCACTTCCAGAATTTGTCTGATATGCAACGGAAATCTGCAACGGACCCGTTTTCGTAGCAGATCTGCAACGAATCTGCGACAGACGAATTATTCATGAAAAAAGAAAATTATCTGCGACGGACTTCTATATTCTGTCACAGATCTGCAACGGAAAATACAATTTTGTCGCAAATTTGAGGACGTCCAAGATGGTCAAAATTTGCACAGAAATTTTGCGACGGTTTTATTATTAATTCCGTCGCAGGGGTTTAATTAAAATCAAATTTTTGGCTCCCAACGCAAAACCGAGATCACTTCAAGTCTATCCCTAACCCTCGTCTGCCGTTCAGCCGTGCCTTCCCTCGTCGTCGTCCTCGCCACGCTACGCTAGTGCTCACCGTCCTCGCCGCCGCCACCGCCACCGCCTTTGTTAGCCCACGCCGCGCCAGATCCCTCGACCATCAATCGTCCAGCCGCGCCAGCCATCGCCCTCGCCAAGCCGCGCCAGCCACGCCAGCTCTCGACGTCCTCGCCGCCGCCGCCCTCGACGGAGAGTCCACTCGCCACCGCTGCCACTCGACGACCATTCCCCCCGCTGGTCATCTTGCCGTGAATTTCAAGGTAAGGTATTTTTGTTTAGTTTTATACAATTTATTATTATTCTAATTTTTGGTGAAATTGAATTTGTTTGTGTGAAATTGAGTGCATTTTAGTGAAATTTAGTTTAAATTGTGTGAATATGAGTTGAAATTTATAAGAAATTAGGTAAAAATTGTATAAGTTTTTTGTGAAATTGATAGTATTTAAGGATGGCCTTAAATAAAGTGTATTAGTTACTTAACTTGTGGAATGAAGTGTTGTTCTTGCTTTGAATGGATGGCCTTCCTACTGTTTTTTGGTGGTTGTGTATGCGTGTTTTTTGTGTTGATGTCCATTGAACTAAGCTGCCAAATGCACAATGGTCAGCTTGCCCCCTACCCCCCTATGGTTATGGAAGAGCCAACATGGGTTGATTTGTGGTTGAGGGAGTGGCCATTGTTTAATGGAGCAGATTCTAAGGCATACTTGGTATATTTTTGGTGATCTTATGGACGTTTCTTGCTGTAGTGTGTGTTGTGGGCAAGGTTACGTTGAATTGGACAATGGTTTCCTGCTGGNTGGTGGTTGTGTATGCGTGTTTTTTGTGTTGATGTCCATTGAACTAAGCTGCCAAATGCACAATGGTCAGCTTGCCCCCTACCCCCCTATGGTTATGGAAGAGCCAACATGGGTTGATTTGTGGTTGAGGGAGTGGCCATTGTTTAATGGAGCAGATTCTAAGGCATACTTGGTATATTTTTGGTGATCTTATGGACGTTTCTTGCTGTAGTGTGTGTTGTGGGCAAGGTCATGTTGAATTGGACAATGCTTTCCTACTGGACAGTGGCATTTGTGGGCTGGAAGTTGTGTTTTACTGTGCTATTGTTCTCTTTGTGCAGTCACTTGTTTGGGCTTGCTGTTTGGAGCTTGTTGTTTGTGATTTGGGCAGTGTGGGGCTGGTTTTGGAGCTAGGTTCCAGTTGCTATTGTAGCCACCTTGCTGGTGGATAATTTGGGCTGAAACTCATGGTATTTTGTTTCCCTTGTATGCTGCATGTTTTGTTGCAATTGGTGAAGAGTATATGAATAGTGAATTCCAGATGCCATTTGAAATCTCACAGGGTTTACTTTTATATGTATGAAGTAGTCTCCAGCAGATTCTCACCTTGTGAAGGCAGCCTCTTGTGCTTCGGTATCGGATCTGTTCTCAAGGTTTGTTTTTTGATCTCAACATTTAAAACCCTCGGCTATATTTTTTTTAGCAACATAGTGTTTGATTGGTTTCATATTTTCATGTTAACAATTGTGACGTTAAAACATATATTAAGATGCTAAGTAATTATGCTAGTAGTAATTGAATCTCAATTGAGTCCCTTCCCATTGCTTGAAATATTTTATCCATCTGCTTGGCATCGGTATTGGTATTGTTGCCTCCAATTTAATGCTCCGTACTTTGAAATGCCTATTAAGGCCCATTTGGTGAGGTTTGCAAGGCTACAATTTGGTTGATATGATTGAATGACTAAATGTGTTCAATTTCTTATGTGTTGCTGCAATAGTTGAAGTACTTATTGCGTTGTTGTTGTGTGTTATTAACTATCATATATTTCAGGCCCAATTCTTCAAACTGCACGAGAAGGCTAGACAGAAATGGTTGAAAGTCACCGACCAAGAAATATGGTACTCGCTAGTTGAGGGCATAACGCGAAGAACCCCGTTCCCACAGCTGGTGACTACGAGCGGGAAATGAGGAAGATGAATCTGTCCTCCAAACTTCATCGTTCCAGCATGAGTAGCAGCAGGGCAGCGCAGATGGCAGCACTTAAAGAGCAAAACCAAAGGCTGTAGGAACAAATTGATAATGTAACTTCGAGCTTATCGTTGACGATTCAGGAGGAGATAAGGAAGTTATATGGAGGTAACCTTCTTCGACGAGGCGATGATGATGGAACGGGAAGGGCAGGGCAGCCCAGGATTTGTTGAGACCTTTACGACCTTAGCTTCCTCCATTTTGAACACTTACACTTACACTTTAATATTCATTGTTAGAATATAATAAAATATGTTACATTCACACGTGAAGTTTTCATTAATCTAGCTTTGAATTATCAATTTGGGTGTTGTTTTTTTGTTAAGAATTATGTGTGTGAAAATTGAATGTCTTTTGCCCCCATTGTAGTAGGTATTGCCTAAAAAGAAGAAAAATCTGGTTCTGTGTTCATGTAATCTGCAACGGAACCATCTGTAGCTAATTCCGACGGAGATCTGCAACGGATATATCTATTGCTAATTTCGTCGCAGATCAGCGACGGTTCTTCACTTCCGTCGCATATTTTGCTGGATAAAAAATCGAAAACTTTGTTGCAGATCCGTCGCAGATCTGCCACGGAATTTCAATTCCGTCGCAGATTTTAAATCTGCGACAACTTTTTTGCGACAGAAATATTTCGTTGCAGATCCGTCGCAGAACAGAAATCTGCTACGGAATTTCGAATTCTGCGACGAAATTCGCCCGTTGCAGATCGGCAGTTTTCTTGTAGTGAGGCCAAATCGTTTTGATAACCAATCTCTTATACTTTTCTTAGTCTAAGACAATATTTCTAACCGGGCTCTTAAACTATAATTAGTTTAAGGTAGAACACAAGAAACGATGATCCATCCTATGAATCTTTTGAATCACGTACCAACCGAATAGTGAACTGTTGGGTGAGTGATATCCCCAAACGAGTGATCCTCGAGTTTTGTTTGGATCATATTGCTATTTCGGTCATCTAGGTATATCTTACAGTTCTTCTAGATATCCTTAATAATCAACATTAATTATCTAAATGGGTATATCTTAGAGTTTTTCTAGATACCCTTAACAATATACATCATTTTCATGATCATCAATATATCCATTTTTAGTCATGATTTAACCATTCACTTGGGAAATCACTGATTTACCACCTAATCAGAAAGCTTTGGGATGTCAATGGGGTTTTAAGACCAAATTTAATTCTGATGGCACAAATGAACGAGACAAAGCCCGCCTGGTTGTTTTTGGAAATCATCAGACTTTGGGAGTTGATTACACGTATACATTTGCCCCAGTCCCAAAGATGGTTTAAGTTCTGTTCGAGTATTGTTGTCTATTGCCGCGGCAAGGGGGTGGCAAGTGCACCAGCTTGATGTGAACAACGCTTTCCTCCATGGTGATTTGATTGAGGAGGTCTACATGCGTTTGCCACCCGGTTATGCACATCTTTACCTAGTGAAGGTTTTCCGACTGTGCAAGCCTCTGTATGGGTTGCGACAATCACCCCGAAATTGGTTTGGAAAGATTACATGTGCCCTTAGGCGATATGGTTTTCATCAGGCACATGCTGATCACACTCTCTTCATTCATCGTTGCGTGTCTTTTATTTTGGTTGTTCTGGTTTATGTTGATGACATTTTGGTTGCAGGTAACAACTCCACTCTATGTGCCTCTTTCAAATCCTATCTACATCGTTGTTTCCATATAAAGGATTTGGGGCCCTTGTCATATTTCTTGGGTATTGAGTGTGCTCGATGTGCAGAGGGTATCGTTCTTTGTCAACAAAAGTATGAACTTGACACTCTCCATGAAGCTGGTCTCTTGGGTTTCAAACCGGTTGATACTCCCTGGCCATCACACCGACCCACGGTCTGGCTCGTTCTACTAGCGCTGAGCTACGTGACCCAGCTCAGTATTGTCGTCTTATGGGTGTAACACCCCAATCCGTATAACCCGGAATTATACGAATTAAGGTGAAACGAGAGTTAAATAAAAATTTCGCTTGACATTTGAAAATGACAATTTATTATAAATATTAAATTTACAGACTCTGGATCGCGACCCATTTAAAAATATTTTCAGAGTAATGCGGAAGTACAATAATAATCAAATCATGACTTTTTTTAAAATATGTTGATCAAACATTTG